GAGAGTTTGCCTGCCCCAACCGGAGTAGATGCCAGTCTAGATAATCGTGCCCAGTCCTCATCTTACACCTCTTCCTTAGAAGCAGAAGCACCTGTTTCCCCTGTCCTGATGCCCTCCACACCAACCAAAGATCTCAGCACTTCTGCAGCTCTCAGTAATGAGGTCATTTCAGCCTGTGTTAGGTATGCTTTGTTTTGTTTTATTAGGCTGTCTAATTTGTAATGAGCCCCATTAAACATGCCATAATTCATAATCTTTCCTTTGTTCATACAGCTCCCCAACCAGAGAGCTTCACACTGATGTTGAAATGACTGGAATTCATGATGTTGAGGTGATTATCTACCAAATCCAACTAAAATGCACAATATTGGTTTGTATATATACTAGGGGTGTGTGAGATTTAAATATGATGACCCATTTCTCATTGAGTGAAAAGCTGTCTCGCGATATCATGATGGTGCTTGAGGGTGAAATTATTAGCTTAGAATAAATAGAATATTAATCATTTTTATGCTACAAATAAATGTAGGCATCACAACATTACAATGATTAAAATGTATTTAGACAAAATAGTGTAGAATTTTAATATTGATTATTAGCTTTGGCTGTAACATAATTTGATCAGCTTATCACTATCAGCTAACGTTTTAAAGATGTACTATATAACTGTTTATGTAACTTGACCGAGCGCAAAAAATATCCATCCTCCAAACCATGACTTTACCCTAAACATGTTGATAAACCTATGATACATTATATACGTATACTAGAGCCAGACCGATATATTGGCCGGCCGATATAAGGCATTTTTCAAAATATCGGTATCGGCAGTTATAATGGCCAATAAATTAATATTTCAAAAATAAAATAAAAACGCTTAACACTTTTCAATCATCTCTCCTTGGCCTGTTATTTTGAAAATGTATGTTTTACAATTTGCAGTATGACGTTATCTATTATGGCTCATCATAGACTAGCTAACCGCAAAGCTAGCTAATACCACTATCATCAGTGGAAAAGACCTCTAATGTTAATTAATGAGCTTGGAATCCACAATGAACCTTTTCTGCCTAAATAAAGTAATGATTACTATATTTATAACTAGCATGTCCCTGCATTTGCAAAATGTAAGTTAGACTTGCGAGGAGTGAACATTTAGACATGGAGAAAAAGTATCAAACGTATCTTGTGCATAAAAGTTAGCTTTTCTTTTACACGTGTGTGAAACGACGCCAAGTGTGTGTTGCAGACTGTCGTTCTGTAATGGATTTAGAATCGCTAAATAGTAGGTTTTAGAAGGCAGGCAGCAACTGATGATTGAAAATGGTTTGATGTAGCTTGATGGAAAGAATTTAAAAAGTGCAGGTAAAGGGGATAAGCAAGCTGACATTATAAGGTAGCTTATAAGGCAATGTAGGGACTAATTATTATTTTATTTATCAGAACTTTAACCTGTTAACTGTCACCCCCCCTTTTTTGAATAGACATGAAAATGCACATTTCGAACTTAAATGGTTGTAATTCAAGAATGCTTTGGAATATAGACATATGATTGGTCTTGTTTTAAAGAAGACATTCGGCAGATTTTTGTAGAAGTGAAATAAATTAAGAAAGTGAAACAGAAAAAAAGTTATAGAAGTTTGAGTTTATGGAAATGTACTTGCATGTAAAATATTAATTATTCAATTTTACATAAAATATATATTTTAAACCTGGGCTACTCTAAAATGGCAGAAAGATCAAAGCCAAAAATCTGAACAAGTTGTGTTTCAAATTTTAGGTTGATATCTCAAAAAATGAGCTTTCAGAAGATTTTGTTTGAGCGCAGTACAAACTTTTTCACTAGGGCACAATCAGACTCCATTACTCCCATATAAGGGCGCCTGCATTTCCATTCGTGTTTTGAGTGATATGAACCATTATTTTCACAATTTTCATACAATTTCTGAAGTAGAGATCCTATTCAGAAGTAGCATGGGAAGTTTGGCAGATTTTGATATGATTGAACCTCTAAGAAACACATACAAAGAACACGCATGTAAGTCATAGCTAGCTGCCACGTCACAAATCGTGATTTATTATTTTTTTCTTGATATTTCAAACTTTTCAGACCTTTTTTTTCCCAAAATAATTGAATGGATTCTATCTTTTGAACTTTTGGCATGAAAACAAACTGAGGTATCTACCATTTTCATGATTTTTCATGTACTGCTATTTAAAATAAAGTCTGAACACGCCTATGAGTATGAAAATATTCTTGTTTTATATTGATAAATTATGGCTCCTCTGTAATATATTTTGAAAATCAGTCACCAAATATGGAAACTAGAGATTGTAAGCTTTCAAATGATATATAGTTTGTCAATATTATTTAAGGTATTTACTAAGATATTATTGTTTTAAAAATATAGTGGCAAACGTCCCACCTGTGGGACGGTGACAGTTAAGTGGTTAATATATTTTGATGTTTCTTTTATTGTCACAACAGAAAAGAGGAACAAGTTTCTTTTTAAAATGCTTTATCATATTAATTTAGTTAACTCATAAATAACTACATATACGTAACTATGTTAGGGAAATCTGTTAATGTTTTGTTGCGCGTTTCTCAAAAAAAAAAAATATATATATATAGTCATTCGTGGTTAAGAGATCCTGTATGCATGTGTACAGTGCCTTGAACTACATTAATCTGAGCAGAGCTGAAGGACAACCAAAATAACGTTCTTCCACAAGACCTATGCGGTTTAACATGGGTCAAAAAGTTGCACAGTGTAGCTAACCTTCATTCTGCATCTCTAAATCCTATTATTAGTCAGCAGTGCTTTTACTTTTAGAGTTTATGGGTCATGTTCTGATGTATTTTTCCCAGGATTCTACTAGTTTGGACTTTGAGCGTTACCTGCAGCCAACAGTGAGAGACAGCATGTCTCCGGGTCTTGCAGAAGAGAGGTTTTCCCTTGGGCTGGAGGATGCTGAGATGGAGAGTCCTGTGACTCTGGCAGAGGAGCGTCCTCTTGATGTCTTGGCAACACCTTCAGGTAGTTTCAGGGAAGCCATCAGCGCGCTTTACGGCGCCTTCCACTTTTTTCACGTCAGTTTGGGTGACTTTAAGGTTCACAGGGGTTTTTTTTAGGGGTGGGGGGTCTGATTATAATTTCACCAACAGTAATTCTGGATTGCCTCCACCAAACAAATAAATAGGAAATAAGCAAATCAGAACACTGCGTGCCAAAACAGCTGTATGCGCGCAAGCATGAACCACTAGTGTTTCTTCCACTTGCTCGCGGCCTGATTGGAGGTAGCTCGTCAAGGGGTCGTGCAAGGATGGAATCGTGCGCGCTCACTGTGCAGAAACGCGCCCACGCGTGGATGGCATTCTGTGCGTGTATACTGTTTTTTACCCTCGTATCCTGTGCGCGAGTTTTGAGACTAAATAAACGCCGTAGAACCGTTCACATATTGTGTCTTTTGCTCTCTCAAGTTCTCTATTTCAAATTTAGGCGCGCAGTAAGCATGCTCATAATTGAAGCAATTTTTTTCCAGGCGCAGCGAGATGAAACCTCTTCAACTTTTCAGAGTGCCGCAAGAGCACTGCATTTCATGTGACGAACTAACCAACCACCATTGAGAGCTCAGTAAACATGAAGGATGGGGGTGCGCCCACACACTACCGGTGTTTTTCTCTTCTCCCTAAATAAATCTTGTAGCAGAGCTACAGAAAGTGTTTTTCGGTGGTGGAAATCTATTAGCTACTAAAACTTCTTTGTCGTTGTGGAGAACATGGTTGCATAGCAATGACAGACGCCACGGGAAAATCGGACCGAATTTTACTATTAATAATAAAAGATTAGCTAATGTGCATTAATGTAAATGTCAAGTAATTTTTTTTGACTATTCTTTTTATCGAAATTATTTAAAGGCGGAAATATGGGAGGTTTATCTTTTTATAACACTTTTTTTTTGTAAAAAATTATTTAAAGGCTGAAACATATTAGTGGTGGGCCGGGGATGGCAGGGGTTGGTGGCGATGTAAGTGTCTGGATATTTTCCGTGGGGCGAGGGCTGCGATTACCTCTCTCTTTTTTGACCATACATGTGTTTGCATCCCTGTAGTTTATGTCCCTCATATCACATCATCATTTTTTTTCCTAATGCTCACATATGGTTTGTTGGGGGGCATGTGGGCACTCACTTCTCTCTCTTGCATTCCTGTCTCAGCTCTTCCAAGAATGGTGTTCACACCCGGGACCAGTCAGGTGAATTTACATCTTTCCTTTATTTACTATCATTTCTTCTCTTTTAATAGGGTTCCCACAGCTTTTCAGTCTTGGATATCCACTCAGAATTTGGATCCGATTCAGCAATTTTGATCTAGTAAACTAGTAAAATAATTACTACAGAAATATTCATGATTTAATTTTTATTGATAAAATCTTTAATCCTAAAGATTTTTATATATAAATGATTAGTTTTTCATGCCTGGAAACCACAATTTTATGTTTCCAGGTTTTCCATGACTGTGGGAACCACTAGTCTCTGACACCGTCTGAGAGTTGTCAGCATTTTAATTTTTAATTTGTCCATAACCTTATTGTGTTTCAGATGTCAGACAATCTGTTGCTGTTCACCCCAGAGGAGAAGGAGAGAGTGAGACCATCAATGTGTGAACTTGACCTGATGATGTTCACACCTCCCACCAACAAATAAAAGCACATCCACTCTTTGAATGTGGATGGTTTTCATTTTTGCTTTATTAAATTAGATGCCTTTGACACATGTACATTTATTTGATGCTTACTTTTTGTACTTTAAAAAGAGCGTATTTAGATATTTCTATGCAGTTTCTCAGAAAATATTAAGGCTTTCAAATGTCACAATTGTTTTAAACCTACCTTAATAAAATCATAAGGGGAAAAAATAATGTACTTTTTCTTCTTATTCCTGCTGGTGACTGACTGTTTTGAAATGCCAGATGATATAGAGGTCACAGAGTCATGGGAGAATGTTCTGGATGTTTTTGGAAACATCAATGTTTGGAACCTCTGTGTTTATCTTCGTCTTGTCTCTCCTCAGCCTCCAGCTGTTCTGTATGTCTGAAAATAATTATAAAGTATAAAAATATGGGCTTCAAAAACCATTTCTTTGAATCTAGGGGATTTTTTTTTTTAAATACCTTGCTTTGTCAGCATCTGCAAGAGTATTTCTGTTCTTTTCTCTCAGCTCGAGTCTCTCCTCCTTCAGCTTCACGCTGTGCTCATATGCAGGGAAGAAGGTCTGAGTGAAAAACTGCTGTATTTTCTGCATCCAGTCCTTCTCTGAGGATATGAAATTAGCCTATTATTAGGGATAAATCCGAGGCATAACTAAGATTTTATTAATTTACATGAATTTTCCAGGTGACACTTTTAAATCAGGCTACCTCATATGGTTTTCCAAGACTGTGGGAAGCACATTTACATTTATTCATGTAGCATATGCTTTTATCTTAAATAAAATAAACTACTTTCAAATTAAGAATACAAGAGAAGGCAATAGTGTAAGTGCTAGCAATACAGCGTTTCAAACATCCTCCAGAATAGTACAACCTAATTTTTATTTTGTCTTATTTTAAGTCACCTTAAAGCCCCTTTGGAAGTTTGCTGAGGCCTCCTAGTTGAGAACCACAGTTATAGTAACAAGGACTGACCACTTTGAATTGCCATTTGTGAAGTCAAACCTTTAAAATCAAGCCCGGGACTTGGTCTTTGCTCCATCTCGTCAGATAGGGATGACTGAAACATTTCAAAATATAAGAGCATCTTAATAGAGACAGTCTGGTTAGCTTTCAGATAATATCCACTGGAATGTAATACTAGAGACTTTGCACTGCCAACATGAGAGAAAATGGCAGAAATTTCATTCTTAACCCTCTGATGGTCCTCTGTCAAAAGAATATTAGAATATTTACTCTTAATTTACTCTTTAGAATATTTAAAAATCACAGCTTCATCGGAAGGTTATGATACTTGGTGACATTTCTGGCATTAGGGATGTGAACGCACAAAAAAAATTGAGTTCATGATTCGAGTATGCTAAGTCACAATTTTGGTCTTCGGTCAAAAATGACCCCATAGGAAATGAATGGGAAATTGACAAAAACACAAAAATTCACCAATTTTTTTTTTCCCACAATTTTTTTTTAAAATATTGTTCTACATTAAGTGTTATAATTGAATGAATTGCATTTTTGATACAAATTCTGAAAAAAAAAAAATGGGTATAAAATTTGCTTATGGCAACACAAGCTTCTCTTTCTAATCCAATGTTTGGCTGTAATTATAATGCAAAAACTAACACTTTTTTATCCCTATTTCTAAAAAAACAATCTAAAACTTAATAATAAATTGTTTTTAAGATTGTTTCAAATATATCTTCAAAAAAAAAAAAAAGTAAATGTGTTCATAAACAGCTGGGGAATTCACATGCCTCTCCATAGAGAGCTGTACATGCCATCTAGTGGTTACACCATGGTCCAGATGGTGCTAATTTTCTTATTTTTTTTTTTTTTCTGAAGGCCTAGACTCTATATTAAACTAAAATACTGCATTAATAATTAGAAGAAGAAAAAAATATATATATAGAAAAAATATGTATTTTTTTCCATGGCAAAAATAGACCATAAATATTGCATAAATATTAATAAACTCAATCAAATTGTCTCAAAATACTAAATTAAAAAGAATAAAGATTATAGAACAAAAATAAATTGCATTGGTTTTTACTGGGATGCAGTTTCAATTTTAGGTGTCCGGTCACTTCTGACCGGCAAGGCTCATTCCTAAACGAAGACCATCAGAGGGTTACAAATTGAAAAAGCAATCCAATTCAAATTATGTAACTATAAATCATTGATCTGAAACAGTACAAGAGGCAGCACAGACCTGAAGTGAACTCGGCTCTGTAATATTCTGCGTGGTGTCTTCCCAAAGACTTGTGTCAGTCTGACTCTCCACATCAGTTTGGATTCTCTGGCCTTTCACCTCAGCACAGCGCAACAATGCCTCAAAGAACTCCAGAAAACTCATCTACAACCAAAATAATTTGTCATATCAAATCAAAGTAATATCAACCAAAAAAATAAATAAAATCCCCAGCTCATCTCAGTTCAGCTCCTGACCTCCAGGTCCAGGTTGCTGTAGATTCCATTCTGAATTGCAGGACTGTCCACAGAGAGGATCTCTAACACTTTGGACACGGTTAGCTCGCTGTCATATAGACAGAGGTCCTGTGAACAGGACTACGCATAAGAATTACGTATGAATAATTCTTAGTAAGTTCAGACTAGATGAAAGTAAGAGGCTTGGTACCTTAAGCAACCAGACAAATTGCCTTGCAGTCAAGCTTTGGGCAGTCTGGACAGAATTTGCTTTACACAGGGCCTGGTAAATTTCCCAGCATCTGTCTGAGTAGTGATATGCAACTGAAGCATGGACAGGGTGGCAGAACAGAGAACCTAAAATATAGAAATACATTTTTAATAAAATAAACATTTTTTAAATAATTAATAAATAATATTAGTCTTTGTTTAACAGGGACATTCAAGATATTTGTTAATAATAATACAATCATGTTGTAATGTGCATCTCTCTACCTTTCACATTCTTTGCATTGGGAATGATGTATTGTCTCATGAGCTTTGAAAAACATGCCGCGAGTATGTTATTAGAGGACCTGTAACAAGTGATCTGTGATTAGATGGAAACTTGCAAGAACATAAAAAATCCAATTATTGTAGGAAAACACTCACTCAATATCGTCGTGGCAAATATGATATGCAACAATGATAATATAGCTGATGCACTCTCTCGGTAGAATGGCAGTGAAAGGAGAATGAAACTGATCTGGATTCAGACAGTGACAACAAGCAATAAATTAGTCTATTTGATATAAAGAGAAAACATCACAAACCATTATGATGCTTAAAGGAATAGTTGACTTTGAACTTATTTTTTGATATGTTTCAGCTTACCTCAAGGGCATCCAAGATCTAGGTGTCTTTGTTTCCACAGTATTTTCAATTTTGATATTTTTAGGTCAAACCATTGGGGTCCACCTCAAAGAGCATGCACAGTCCAGATTAAACATGATTTAATGGCTTGTAAATGTAAGTACACATTGATGGCCTAAGACACGAAACGAGCGGTTTGTGTGAGAAAACGAACTTTTTTTTATATCGTTTTTACCTCTTGTAATCACAGTCACGTCCAAGTACTCTTTGACGTGGACCCCATGTACCTCCATTATGTGATTGACAGACAAGAACGGTTTGACCTAAAAATATCAAAATTGAAAATACTGTGGAAACAAAGACACCTACATCTTGGATGCCCTTGAGGTAAGCTAAAACATATCAAAAATTAATTTCAAAGTGAACTATCCCTTTAAAGACATTACCAGTGAAGAGATGATCTATTTGCGCTTGTGTGAGTCCATGCTGGTGAACTTTACAGTCCATGAGAAATCGAGAGAACTGCAGGTGGGTCAGGGGGAATATTTTGTCTGGAGATTTCTCATGTCCAAGGCTGCTGTAGAAGCTATATATCTCCCTTAACAAACCAATGTGTCTCAGCACTGCAAACTCCACCTGCACAGATGTAAATAAAATAATGCTTACACAGCACACCAACACAAATTTGGCTCTGGATTTACCTTTGGATTCATCTCATATAAGGCCAAAAACCTGTTTGAGTTCTTGATCTCTGTGGTCCTCAGGGACTCTGTCTAACAGAGTATGGATGTTCAAAACCATGTCAGATCCGAGTGGTGAGTTTGTGCTTGACTGTGAAGATCTTTTGGATGAATCATCTAATGAGCAGAGATAAACTATTTGAAACACTATAAGTAAAACACAAAAACAAATTAAAACCTCTTGACATACTTTAAGGGACATGAAATGAAGTAAACAAATAAGTCAAATAAGTTAACTCTCAAAAGTGTTTTCTTTGATTCTTTTTTTAGAATGAGTGTTTAAGGTACATTGTCATGCTATACTTACCACATAAATGCATAAATAGACATTCATTGTTCATTAGAGTTAAACTTTTTTTATTCAGGGATCAACACTGATGATGGCCAATGTGATTGTTTCGGGTCATTTGATGGAACTGTCAAATTAGATATTTTGGTTTTCTGTTTCATACCTTCATTTAATCTTGTTAGTAAGTACAAACCCAATTCCATAAAATTTGGGACACTGTACAAATTGTGAATAAAAACAGAATGCAATGATGTGGAAGTTTCAAATTTCAGTATTATATTTAGAATACAACATAGATGACATATCAAATGTTGAAAGTGAGACATTTTGAATTGCCATGCCAAATATTGGCTCCTTTTGGATTTCATGAGAGCTACAAATTCCAAAAAAGTTGGGACAGGTAGCAATAAGAGGCCAGAAAAGTTAAATGTACATATAAGGAACAGCTGGAGGACCAATTTGCAACTTATTAGGTCAATTGGCAACATGATTGGGTATAAAAAGAGCCTCTCAGAGTGGCAGGGTCTCTCAGAAGTCAAGATGGCCAGAGGATCACCAATTCCCCCAATGCTGAGGCAAAAAATAGATCTTCGGGCCCTTAGACGGCACTGCATCACACACAGGAATGCTACTGTAATGGAAATCGCAACATGGGCTCAAGAATACTTCCAGAAAACATTATCAGTGAACACAATCCACCGTGCCATTCACCGTTGCCGGCTAAAGCTCTATAGGTCAAAAAAGAAGCCATATCTGAACGGGAACCAGAAGCGCAGGCGTTTTCTCTGGGCCAAGGCTCATTTAAAGTGGACTCTAGCAAAGTGGAAGCAAAAGTTCTTTTTGGAAAACTGGGACGCCATGTCATCCGGACTAAAGAGGACAAGGACAACCCAAGTTGTTATCAGCGCTCAGTTCAGAAGCCTGCATCTCTGATGGTATGGGGTTGCATGAGTGCGTGTGGCATGGGCAGCTTACACATCTGGAAAGGCACCATCAATGCTGAAAGGTATATCCAAGTTCTAGAACAACATATGCTCCCATCCAGACATCGTCTCTTTCAGGGAAGACCTTGTATTTTCCAACAAGACAATGCCAAACCACATACTGCATCAATTACAACATCATGGCTGCGTAGAAGAAGGATCCGGGTACTGAAATGGCCAGCCTGCAGTCCAGATCTTTCACCCATAGAAAACATTTGGCGCATCATAAAGAGGAAGATGCAACAAAGAAGACCTAAGACAGTTGAGCAGCTAGAAGCCTTTATTAGACAAGAATGGGACAACATTCCTATTCCTAAACTTGAGCAACTTGTCTCCTCAGTCCCCAGACGTTTGCAGACTGTTATTAAAAGAAGAGGGGATGCCACACAGTGGTAAAAATGGCCTTGTCCCAACTTTTTTGAGATGTGTTGATGCCATGAAATTTAAAATCAACTTATTTTTCCCTTAAAATTATGCATTTTCTCAGTTTAAACATTTGATATGTCATCTATGTTGTATTCTAAATATAATATTGAAATTTGAAACTTCCACATCATTGCATTCTGGTTTTATTCACAATTTGTACAGTGTCCCAACTTTTATGGAATTGGGTTTGTAAAATTATACACTCTTAGAAAAAAGGGTTCTATATATGAAGCATCAGGTTCTTTACTCAACTCCAAAGAACCTTTTATGCTAAAAAAGGTTCTATAATGACAAGAAAGAACCTTTTTGGCACAAAGGTTCTTTATAGGCTATTACTCATTCATATATTACATTATTCTGCAACATTTTGTAGTTGTAAATAAATAATTGTTTATTAAACTTTTGTACTAACTTAATATCACATTTTAATCATGCTGATTTTTGGAGGAGAAAAACTGAAATGGCACTCTTCGTGTGATATTGATTAACTACATAAAATGATATAAATATATACATTTTCTAAACCCCATATCTTGAATTTTGTGATCATTCACAAGCATTCATAAATACATTTTAGGGCTATAATATGAAATACTTAATCCGGAAAGGACAAAACAAATGATAATGAATGAACAAAAAAGGTTCCATATAGAACATTTTTCCTGGTTACAAAGAACCCTAAAGTGTTCTTATTATTGAACCCTTAAAATACGTAGCGCTGATAGAACCTTTTAAATTCTATAATGAACCTTTTCTTCTAAGAGTGTATAACTGGCTAATAGATTAGGTTTTATCGAAATTGATTGAATTTTAACAATTGAATGAAAATGACTAATAAGTAATGTTTTGCCATGGATGCAAATGCAATCATATTTTTTCTGTATTCATTCAATTATTCAACACCCATTGCAAGTCATGTGTAATGGCAAAATGTACAGACTGTCAGCTGTTTGCAATGAACAAATCGAACAAAAGTAATTGAAATAGCAAACACAACAAAAGTGGTTTTCACAAATTCAACTGAAAATGCTTTTCACTTTTAATTACTTATGCAGTCTCAAAATTATTCAACTTTAGTACTCAGTAGAACACCCTTTTGCTGTTATGACCTGATGCAAACGGGATGTAGAACCAAACACCATGCAGCTTCTGGCAGTGTTTCTGAGGAATCTTAGCCCATTCCTCAGGAGAAATAGACTCCAGTTCAGTAATATTCTTGGGTTTGTGTGTTGCAACTGCCTTCTTCAAATCCCAAAGTCAGGTGACTGTGATGATGGTCACTGTAGAATCTTCCAGGACTTCTTCTGCAACCAAGCCTTGGTGGAAGTTGAGGTATGCTTGGGATCATTGTCCTGTTGTTGGAAGGTCCACTAATGCCCAAGGTTTAGCTTCTTCACTGACGGCCTGACGTTTTCTCCTAGGATTTTCTGATACTTCAATGAATCCATCTAGCCTTCAACACACTACAGTTTACCAGTGCCAGAGGATGCAAAGTAGCTGCAGAGCATCACCGAGCCCCACCATGCTCAATAGACAGTTCTTTTCAGCATATGCATCTTCTTTCTCCAGACATACCGCTGATCCATTTTCATTTTTCATTGCTCCACAGAACAGAATCGCAAAACTTCTGTGGCTTATTTATATGATTTAAGCAAATTCGAACCAACTTTTCTTGTGCTTTTGGGTCAGAAGTGGTGTATGTCTTGGAGTTCTGGCATTCGTCTGGCTTTTTTTTTTTTTTTTTTTTTTTGTCTGTTGCCATCAAGTCTTGCTGCAGGTCTTTTGCAGTCAAAGGGTTTTTCTGAACTCATAAATCTGGTTGCAGCTGTTGATAGTTGCTTTTTCTTCTCCATCCAGGAAGTGTAACCACTGTTACTTTCATTTTGAACTTGCAAACTATGCTTCCATCAGTGTCTCCAGGAACATTTAGTGCCTTTGCTCTCTTTTTGTAGGCTATGTTCCTTGTTTGTGAAGGGTGATGATATCTTCTCTTTTTTTTTACTTATTTGCCATATTCCTAACATGCAGTGAAACGTGACACTCAGCAAACTTAAGGCGGGCATACACTGCGATTTTCATCCGATTTTGACCCGAATTCTGACTCGTGCGACTCTTTTTCGTGTCGGACCTACCCTATCTCACGACCAATACGTACGAATTCATACGAGTGATTAAAAAGTGGCCAATTCGTACTAATTCGTACGACCTCACTCGGGGGCGGGGTCAGGGGTAGGTCATTCGTACGAATTCATACGAATTTGCCAATTCGTAAAATATGTACGATTTAGCAAAATCGTACTAATTTGTACGAGTGAGGTCGTATGAATTGTTACGAATTAGCCACCTCGTAAAATTCGTACGAACTCCCGTGAGATCGGGTTGGTCGGACCGATTTGCAGCTTTGCCGTGCGTCGTTTGTCGTGCAGTGTACAGGGAGAAACGAGAGGTGATTAACCTCTAACGATCGACAATCGGATGGTCGGATGAATTTCTGCCATGTCAGAAATTTTGGTCGCTCCTCGTGACTATATCGCACAGTTGAAGCAAAGCTACAAACCGATTGCCCTAAACGCAGCGTTTTTTCCCTCACTGCACCTGCGTAAAAACAGAAGTTTTACCATCATCTGCGGCAAAAATAAAATCATAATATAAACGAAAAGAGGGAGATCTTTGAAGGGATACTCCACTTTTTTTGGAAATAGGCTCATTTTACAACTCCCCCAGAGTTAAACTGTTGAGTTTTACCTTTTTTTGAATCCATTCAGCCGATCTCCAGTTCTGGCAGTAGCACTATTAGCATAGCTTAGCATACATCATTAAAGTGCACTAGACCATTAGCATTTCTCAGAAAAAAATTACCAAAGTGTTTCGATATTTTTCCTATTTAAAACTTGACTCTTCTGTTGTTACATCGTGCATTAAAACTGACGGAAAATGTGAAGTTGTGATTTTCTAGGCTGATATGACTAGGAACTATACTCTCATTCCTGCGTAATAATCAGGAAACTTCACTGTCGTACCATGAGTGCAGCAGGCGTAATGTTATGACGCAGCGCCTGAAAATAGTCCCCAGCTTCTAACGTGACCGGGACTAAGTTTGTGTATTCATTGCGCCTGCTGCACTCATGAGTTCAGTTTTAAATAGGAAAAATATCGAAACATTTTTGTAATTTTTTTGGGAAAAATGCTAATGGTCTTGTGCACTTCAATGATGTATGCTAAGCTATGCTAAAAGTGCTAATGCCAGAACTGGAAATCGACTGAATGGATTCAAAAAAGGTAAAACTCAACAGTTTAACTCTGGGGGAGTTGTAAAATGAGCATATTTCCAAAAAAAGTGGAGTATCCCTTTAAGTTCTGCAGTTCAAACTAGCTAGAAAATGGATAATAATACCCACGTCTTCCAAGCCACCTGCGATGTAAAGCCTCTTTTATTAATTTGTTAAACAAAAACAATGTTTTTGAAATAAACCTGTTTTTCATTGATGATTAATTATTGCAATGTTCGGACATATTATAGACTGTTAATAGTTATTTTATATGCCTATAATTCATTGTAATCGACCTAAATGTTTTAATGTTTACAATTTTTAAAGGGTTAGTTCACCCAAAAATGAAAATTAAGTCATTAATTACTCACCCCCATGCTGTACCAACCCCGTAAGACCTTCGTTCATCTTCGGAACACAAATGAAGATGTTTTTTATTAAATTTGAGAGCTATATAACTACCACATAGGCTCCTAAGGGACTGCCTCTTGACGGCCCAGAAAGTCAATGAAGAAAATGTTTAAATATCCCAAGTGACTACCGTGGCTCAACTATATGTTTATCAAGCGACGAGAATACTTTTTGTGCGAAAAAACAAACAAAAATAACGAGTTTATTCGACTATTCCTTTTCTTCCTTGTAGGCCAGAAACGAGACTTCCTTAGATTTCCACGACACATGCGCGAGAACTGAACTGAAGTAGATGGAAAAAGATAGCAATTCTCGCGCATGCGTCGTGGAAATCTAAGGAAGTCTCGTTTCTGGCCTACAAGGAAGAAAAGGAATAGTCGAATAAACTCGTTATTTTTGTTTGTTTTTTCGCACAAAAAGTATTCTCGTCGCTTGATAAACATATAGTTGAGCCACGGTAGTCACTTGGGATATTTAAACATTTTCTTCATTGACTTTCTGGGCCGTCAAGAGGCAGTCCCTTAGGCAGCCAATGTGGTAGTTATACAGCTCTCAAATTTAATCAAAAAATATCTTCATTTGTGTTCCGAAGACAAACGAAAGTCTTACGGGGTTGGTACAGCATGGGGGTGAGTAATTAATGACTTAATTTTCATTTTTGGGTGAACTAACCCTTTAATGAGGAGTAAGATTATGTATGTTATGTATTTTATTATCCTCACAGCACGTTGGTTATGTGCTGTGAAAATATTGTGTGGCAAATTAATAATAATAGCGGACCAATTTAATAATAAAATTAGCCTATATGCATCTCCTAATAACGATCATACAGTAATACTAATAATAATTTTAAATCATCTTGATATTGATAGCAGTTGCTTGTTATCTCTGGATACATATCGTGTATAGGCGCAATCCAGGGGGTTATCGCAGATATTTCACACATATAGTGTGAGCAGTGAAGTAACAGCTCGACGATCGGACCGTATAGTGTGAGCACATAAATCCTGAACTTTGGCTTTGCATACCATGCGATTTACTCGTTGAGTGTGAGTAGGTACCTTGCTGAAATCGCATAGACATCGCACAGTGTATGCCCGCCTTTAGCCAGTTCAGATATTTCATGTGTTCTAGCTCAAGCACACCTGGTGCACCTAATAAAGCCCTTGATTAATTGCATCAGGCGTGCTTGAGAAAACAACTGTTTTGCAGATTTGAGTTGTTGTAAGGGATTCTATGCCGGGGGTTGAAACACTTGTTGTGTTTAGCTACTTAAGTTACTTTTGTTTGATTTGTTCATTGGAAACAGCTGAAAGTGTACATTTAGCCAATAAACTCGATTTGCAATGGGGATTGAATCATTGCATTGAATCACTCACCGGCTACTTTATTAGGTACACCTGTTCAACTGCTCGTTAACGCAAATATCTTATCAGCCAATCACATGGCAGCAACTCAATCTCAGAAAAAAAAAAAAGATAAAATATCAGGTGAGTGGCAGTTCTGTAGGCGAAAATGCCTTGTTGGTGCGGTGTCAGAAGTCGGAGGAGAATAGCCAGACTGGTTTGAGCTGATAGAAAGGCAAGAGTAACTAAAAATGGTATATACTGTATATATACACACATTTATGTTGTAAACTACATTTATATAGTTTAACTACATTAACTAATATTAAATTGAATCATCAGAATCAAGTATTCCAGAGAGATTTAATTCTGGTCATGAATATACTTTACTCTCGTCTGGAAAAGGAGTCGTAATCCCACTCAGGCCAGGAGTGAAGGCAGGAAATTCAGTAATGCAGTCGTTATTGAACTCCCCTTCATATACCCGTCCATTTTCAAAAGTGTATTTCCCCTGCAAAAGACCATCTGCAGTGTTGGAATCACACAACCATCTCACATCTCCATAGTTTGAAAGGTGGTTTACCTGTCCATGTTTTCTGTCATGTTTCCACTCTCCAATATACACAGCCCCACTGGCATATAAGAACTGCCCTTGACCATGACGCATCCCTTGAACGAATTCACCCGTGTACTCGTTCATTCGAGGGTACTGAGAGAATGGGACTCTTTTACAGAACCATGTGTGCGTTCCTTTTCCATCCTACATTAAGAAAGAAACTTCTGCTAAGATTTTCAGTACAAAATGAATAGAAAATCATAATGTAGGGAATGACGCTAAAAATAAGGGCAAAGTTAGTAAATGACAGACCTGGATGCTATTTAACCACTGTCCACTGTATTGCTGATCCAACTGAACCCATCTCATTGTTCCTTCTCCATGTCGGACATTGTTCCTCCATTGTCCTTCATACACATTGCCAGATGGGTAACTTAATGGGAAACAAATCGATTTGATATATTTTTCCAAATATAAATTTAGAAAGAAAATAAATATTTATAAAGAAATTATTACTATCACACACCACCGCTTCCCCCAGCCCTCCCTGCAGTTGTTCACCCATTCTCCTTTGTACCATGATGTGGATGCTTGGTTATAATACATTACCCCCTGTCACCATCACAGGACACCAGTCAAGATATATATTATTAAATGCTCGTAAGGAAAGTTGAGACAACAGATGTGTGTATGCACATACCTGCCCTTGTCTTTTGCCCATATGCCACTGACCTCTGTACACAGTAGAGGTTTTGAAACATTTGAACACTCCGACACCATGACGGACACCTTGGTGTAACTCCCCCTCATAAGTGCTGCCATCTAGCCAGGTGTAAGTCCCATGTCCCATGGGAACATTTAATTTGAAATTACCCTGCCAAATGCAATAGTTCATTTCGCTATGAATAATTAATGGCTCCAATCAAAACACTGGGGTATTATGTGATTTATCTAATCCTAGCCAATCTAAATCTTCATGTAAATTATTTACTTCCATGAACTCTTTACATACCTGATACTTTAAACCGTCTGACCAGATATATTCACCAGAACCATGCATCAACCCATGTGAAAAACTACCCTAATGAATGCAAAATGGTAAAAATAATGAAATAATGTTTGGCAATTTAAAGGGATAGTTCACTTTGAAATAAATTTTTGATATGTTTTAGCTTACCTCAAGGGCATCCAAGATGTAGGTGTCTTTGCTTCCACAGTAGTTTCAATTTTGATATTTTTAGGTCGAACCTTTGGTGATCATCAGTCCAACATGACATCATGACTTTTGCGTAAACATACACGCCACTTTCGAGTCTCATTTTAAACTAACTGCGTGTATCCGTGTGTATGCGTGTATGTCTACGCCATTAACGTCCGCGTCATTCCGCGTGTCTGTACACGCAGTCAAATCTCCAGTCATAAATGCCATTTACCCCAGTGACGGTTAAGTTTAGGGATGGGGTTGAGGTAAGTCATATACTTTTTTTACCTAGGATGGTAAGGGAAAAGTCATAAATGCCATTAACCCCAGTGACGGTTAGGTTTAGGGACGGGGTTGAGGTAAGTCATATATTTATATAACGTTAAGTCAACGGCGTTCATAAACACGCTGAAAGGCGATTATGCGTCCTGATAGCACGCCAAAAATGGAAATACGAATTGGCGTGTCATACACACGCTACTTCATGAGATCAGTCTGATCAGTCATATAATGGAGGTCAGAGAAGTCCAAATTAAACATGATTCAATGACTCGAGTCATAAATGTAAATACACACATTGATGGCCCAAGACACGAAATGAGCGGTTTGTGTGAGAAAACGAACAGTTTTTATATAAATTTTACGTCTTGTAACCACAGTAATCTGAGGGCGTGGGCGCTTTGTGGCTGTGGCTACATTACAAGAGGTAAAAACGATATAAATACTGTTCGTTTTCTCACACAAACCGCTCGTTTCGTGTCTTAGGCCATCAATGTGTGATTACATTTACGAGTCATTGAATCATGTTTAATTTGGACTTCTCTGTGCATGCTCTTTGAGGTGGACCCCATAGACCTCCATTATATGACTGATAGAAATGAACGGTTTGACCTAAGAATATTGAAATTGAAAATACTGCTGAAACAAACACACCTACATCTTGGATGCACCTTGAGGTAAGATATAAACATATAAACATATCATATGCTAAAACATATCAAAAATTAATTTCTAAGTGAACTATCCCTTAAAGGTTTTTTCAAGCAGAATCTGTGGTCTACTCCGAAGTTATTTCAGGGCAGGGCATCAGTTTTGTGATCAAAAATATTGAATTTATTTTTCTTTCCTCCAACATTCATATTTTTCTTTTTAAAATATAACAAGATAAGAAACAATGTACAGTAGTAATGTTAGCAATGTCCTTAATAAAAGTTGAGTACATTTCAATTAGATTTACATCTAAAGGTTGAAAACCCATAAATTATCGTCCACAACTCACCTTGTAAACGTGGCCACCTTGAAAATATGCGACACCTTCTCCATGAAACATTTCTCCAGACTTATCACCCTCATATCTAAGGGGAAAAACAGATATTTGTCTTTTTTTGTCACCCAAGCTGAGTTTTATCATTTCGTAAAAATGTCTAACCTTTCCACGATTATATGGTGAAGAATGGGAACTTTACGGCACTGATCATGTTCATTATTTGGTCGATGCTCGTTCGTGTGTCGATACACTGCAGAGGAGGAACACACAGCAGAGCTCGAGGAGTCTTGTTCCTCGTCAGGCTCTGTGACGGACTCCGAAATTAAACTGGACGCGGATGACTGTCCTAACACTTTACTTAACGTTGGTTCTGGCGTAGATTTGTTAGAACTTATCTTTTGTTCTTTAGCCATCGCCGGTAGAGAGTCAGAATTATTCGCTTGTTCACCAAGTAGCAAACACCCCTTTGCAGTGTACATAGTAACACGGTTTATGTTGCTTAGCAATGTTACAATACGGCAAGTTAGAAGGGTCAAACAAAATATTAGAGGGTCTAGGGACCTAATAATCAAAATTTCTCACAGTAGTTAATATTTGAAAGTCATCTGTCCAAGCTCAGCAAAAAAGTAACACTTTACAAGAATGAACAATACTTCTACAGCATGTATTAATCTTAATTTCAACATTTACTAATATATTATTAAATTAAATTTAGTTAACTAAACTGACATTAACAATGTACTGTATATTTTAAACTAACATTAATAAATACTGTAACCAATGTATTGCTCATTGTCAGTTTATGTTAGTTAATGCATTAACCAATGTTAACAAATGAGACCTTATAAGTATTACAAAATAACTTTAATAATTAAAAAAAAAAAAAAAACCTGTTAACAAAATATTTTTGGAGGCCACTGACTTCCAGCATACGGATAAACAAATCAATATATTTCTCAAAATACCTTATGTTTTACATAAGAAAAAAAAAAAAAACATCTCGTAGGTTTGGAAAGTCATTTGGGTGGGTAAACCATGACATTTTTATTTATTTATTTTTTGTGAACTATCCCTTTAAATTAAATATTCGGGTTATCGATTTGCACCTTTAAAATATTTACTAATTTTTAAGAAATACAAAAAAGCCTCCAAAAAAGTGACATTACAGTTAGATAAAGAATTAGGAGCTCAAACACATTTAAAAACATGAGAACGATACTTTATTATAAAAAAATACAAATAATAATAAAATCCTTAATTAAAACAATGTTTGACAGTCAAAAGAAAATTCACATGTAAACTCAGCAAAAATAAACGCGTTTCAGTCAGGAGAAACCATATCCAGATTAGCAAGGTGTCTCATGGTGGGTCTACCGTGTGGACAATTCCAGGGCTGTTCAATTTCACCCATGTGAAGCACAAGTTTCTTCATTTCACTGATGTTGAGGGCAGTGCCAACCATCACCTGTGTAAACAGGAAAACAGAACACACTATTTATATAAAAACTTACCAAAAAGAACACAAAATTTGCAATGGCTCAATCACAGACTATGATCTTCCTTTACAGGTTTTTATTTGGGTTCATACAGGTGGATTATATGGAAAATATTTCTGACAGGAAGAAAAGTTAGCCACCCTCACCGATTTGCGACAAGCCCTGGATGCAAACATTTGCCTAACTCGAGAAGGTCGACACATGATTCCTGGACTATCGCTAAGCATGAAGATGAGTTCTTCAATGTCACTTGGGCCAAAAGTCCAATTCTTACTTGTAGGTAGAGACACCAGCTTCACCCTCTCCATAACCTGAGCTGATAAACAACACCCCACATCAATTTGAAGGAATATGTACCAGATACAATCCTGAATCTACTACAATAGATAACCCACCATCCTCATCAATGAGGAAGTCAAAACCATTCTTTCTGAAGATTTCAAGGTTTTCCATGAGCACCGTTTCACTGATTGCTGGGAGGTGGAGATTTTGTGGACTGCATATGGAGAAAGAAAATAAAAGTTAGCTTTAAAATAAATACCATCCATACCAGTTCCACTTCTCTGTGCGGATTGTGACTTACACTATGAGCCTCTGTCCCTTTAAGACCGTATTCTGTTGGAGCATCTCAAAATTGTACTTTTCATCTGTGGCATGCTGGTCGATTATGAAAAGGTCAGATTTCAGCTTGGTGATTATAAAACCCAGGTTGAACTGACCAATGATTTCCATTTCCTTGAACGAATCTTTGCTGTAAAGAAATGTCGAAACCTTTTAAATGGAATATAAACTCATAAACATGCTGATTGCAGTACTTCAAAGGGATAGTCAACCCAAAAATAAAATTTCATCCTCATGTTGTTAAAAATCAGTATGCATTTCTTTCTTCTGCAGAACATATTTTGAAAAATGATGGTAACCAAACAGTTTTGGTTCCAACTGCAATACAACGGACACCAAAAGGGTTTGAAACATTCCTTAAAAATAAATAAATTCATGTTCGACAGAGGAAAGTGAGTCACATGTTTGGAACAACATGAGGGAAAGAAAATGATGATAGAAGGACTATCTCTTTAAGAGCTCAAACTAGATCGGTCTAACCTTATTTCTTTCTTGAGCTCGTCCTCAGCACTATGGTTTTCTCCAGGGTTAATCTTCGCCCTGAACCGTCTGTATTTTGGCTCTTGATCATTGTTCTCTGTCTTCTGAGCCTGCATTCTCTGTATCCTTTTAGAAAGTTCCTGTAGAGAAAACTGCAAAAGCACAGTTTTCTTCTGTATGCTGACACGTGAATCCAATTGCTGGGAGGAATTCTTGATTTTGGAGTCCACCAAACATGGTGGAGGTTCATCTTCCCATCTAGCTCTTTTAGCTTCAGGACTGGAGATTCTTTCCTGGTGTTGTTCTGACTTTGTCTCTGGCACCAAAGATTCATGACTCCAGGACTTCTCATTTACAGGTTCATCAATGGCCTCAGCTTTAACATCTGTTTCATATGTAACAGGGTGTAAAACTGACTTGTTTTCATGTAGAATCTCTGCATCATATTTTGCAGAACTTTGGTTTGCAGCCACAGAATCATCAGCATCACTATCAAAGGTGTTTTTATATTTAGCTAAAGAAACAGTCGTTTTAATGGAAGTAACAGCCGCAAAACTTGGAGAGGATTTTAAAGGTGGCCTCGTGTCGGTAACTTTTTTAGAGCAGCTCACAAAGGAAAACATCTTCTTCTGAGAAGGATCAGCACAAACAGCTTTATGACTAGACTGCTTTGACCCAATTCCTGGAGCCTGATGGTTTGAAAATGCTTGTTTAAGTCCTGCTAGATTGATGGAAGTCTTTGTTGGCCCTTCATCTGGAAGAGCTTCAGAGGCTGAAACTGTTTCACAATCTTCTGTACCAGTGCTGGTCTTAGTTGGTCTTCCTAGGCCTGCAAGAGCAACATCAACATATATAATGACACTTCAAGACAACACATGAGCTGTCCTAAAAGTTCTTAAGTACTTACCTGTAATTGCTGGAGAGATGTGATTGAGACTTATTTTATTGACACCAATCTCAAACATAGCAATGAGTGAGCTTTTTAAAATGGCCAGCAAGAGTTTTTCCTCTTGTAGAAGGATTTGACGTTTGTCTGGAGTGACATTCACGTCGACACAGTCTAAAGTAAAAAACAAGAATCAAAACATAGGATTGAATGAGAAGTTTAAAAATACTTCATTAAAGGAGTATTTTTTTTTAACTTTTGCTGATAATTTACTCACCCCCATATCATCCAAGATGTCCATGACTTTCTTTCTTCAGTCGAAAAGAAATTAAGGTTTTTGATGAAAACATTCCAGGATTTTTCTCCATATAATGCACTTTACTGGTAACCAAACGGTTCAAGGTCCAAAAGACAGTTTCAGTGCAAACTGTTCAAAGGCCTTTAAACGATTTCAGACGATGAATAAGGGTCTTATCTAGCGAAAAGATCGCATATTTTTAAAAAAAAAACAAAGTTTAAGTTTTATAAGCTCAAATGCTCGCCCTGCTCTGTTCTGTGATGCGCGTTCATGACTCTCCTGTTCGAACTCGTTCATCAAAACGAACAAATCGTTTTTGGAGTCAATTTGTTCATTTCGTTCGTTAAAAAAAAGATTTGTTCATTTTGATGAACGAGTTCAAACAGGAGAGTCAACAACGCACATCACAGAACAGAGCAAAGCAACCATTTGAGCTTATAAAACTTAAACTTTTTTTTTAATTTATGAGCGATCGTTTCGCTTGATAAGACCCTTATTCATTGCCTGGAATCGTTTAAAGCCCTTTGAACAGTTTGCAGCCTGCACTGAAACTGTCTTTTGGACCTTGAACCGTTTGGTTATCAGTAAAGTGCATTAAATGGAGAAAAATCCTGGAATGTTTTCATCAAAAACCTAAATTTGTTTTCGACTGAAGAAAGAATGACATGGATATCTTGGATGACATGGGGGTGAGTAAATTATCAGCAAAAGTTTTTTAAAAGTAAAGTACTGCTTTAAGCATTTATATTCTACATACTTTGTATTATATAAACTACCGTTTAAAGGTTTCTGAATGACTATTTAAATATTTTCAAAAGTACATAAATACAGTAAACTGTATATATATATATATATATATATATTCTATATTAATAAAATGTAATTTATTTCCGTGATCGCAAGGCTGAATTTTCATAATAGCTGAATAGCTCCAGTCTTCAGTGTCACACGATCCAGAAATCATTCTTATATGCTGATTTGGTGCTCGAGAAACATTTCTTTTTAGTATTAATGTGATTCTTTGATGAAGAGAAAGTGTAGAACAACAATTTTTCTACAGCAAACAATTTTTATTTAAAACTGAATTTTTTGCAAGACCTGTCAAAAGTGACAGTAAAGACATTTAAAAAGTAATTCCTCTTGCTGAATAAAATATTCATTTCTTTAAATAGCTAATACCTTTGATACCTGATACCCCAAACGTTTGAACAGTAGAGTATACACTCATATACAGTATATATACAGTACACTAATTTAATTTCTTAATTTAAGCCTTACCTGACGCGACAGTGATGTTCAGAGCGACAAATGGGTATTGATGCCGATTGTACATGTGATAAACCTCATTCACAAGCTTGGAGACCTGCAAATATTACAACAACAAAAAAAAAATATGAACAAATCATACTTATTCCATATAATTTAATTACATTATAAACACAATAATACTTATATAAAATGACCACACCTTTACTGGATCACAGGGCCTTTTATTGATAAAGAAGAACTGTCTGTCAGTAGCACTTCGACCAACACCATGATCCCCTCGTGACACAAACCCTTCGATGCTAAAATGCAACAATAAACATTAAACATTACTTAATACACAGGAATATCCAAGTTATAATATGGTTTTCATTACCTGATTTGCATCAAACTGTAGATAGACCCACAAATGAATATGTTTACACAGAATAACTTACATGAAAAGGTCTTTTGGAACATCTACCCCGCAGAGACCATAGTCTTCTTTAATTGATTCATTGGGAGATATTTGTTGAAAGGGAATCAAACTTTGTAGCTGAGGACAAATAAAAATGTGACATAGTATGTTACACTCGAACAACAGGGACACACAGTAATGCAGGTACTATGTTGGAATAATATGATTGTGAGTTATGTTGGTCAATTTTGGTTTAAAATATACACTAGAAAATAGGTTATTCTCACCTGTTTAGGTCCAAACACAGCTCCAATGTTGTCTCTCATGCTGTTACTGCCACTGGTGCACAGTACTGTGGTGCGCTTGCCTTGTCCCATCTGGTTAGTGCATGTAATACGCACACCAGTGGAGATGATGCAGTAGGATTGCAAGACGAAAATCATCTTGGAATAATCCTGTGAAGAAACTATTTAATTCCTTCCCAAACATGGATACAATTACAAACCCATGTACCCATATATATCCCAGCAGACCTTTTTGATGTTGCGCTGGAACTCCTTGTGTCGAACAGGTAATGTGGAGAAGAGCTTCTGAAGAGTGACGGTAGTGCCGTGCTGACGGGGATGCGGCACGCGCTCGGTGAGACGCCCATTGTGGTCATACACCAGCCGAGCTCCGATCTGAGCGCTCTCATGACAGGTCACGACACTAAGATCACTGTGGATATTGAACAGCATATATTAAGGAAGCACTCGAGAGTTTAATCGCACATATCAGTATTGTGAGATCATCATTGCGCTATCATCAGGCATTATGTAATGCTTATACTGTAGGAATTAAGAAGACACGTACAAAGTAAAGTGTTACCTAAGAGCACAAAGTGAGCTGAGAGCTTCACCGCGGAACCCAAACGTCTCCACGTGTATCAGGTCGGAAAAATCTCTTAATTTAGAGGTATGATGCTTTAAAGCTGCAGATGGGGAGAAGACACAGATAGGTATACTACCCATTAAAAGTCTGTAATCATTAAGACTTAAAAATGTTTTTAAAAGAAGTTAAATATTATTACTATTAAAAATGTAATACATTTTAAAATGTAATGCATTCCTGTGATGGAAAGCTTTCTGCATCATTTCTCCAGTCTTCGGTGTCACATGATCCTTTAGAAATCCTTCTATAATATGCTGATTTTGTGCTCAAGAAATATTTCTTATTATCAATGTTTGAAACTGTTGTGCTGCTTCAATATTTTTATTTTTAGCATAGCATTTATTTAAAAATATTAGGGCTGTCAAACGATTAATCGCATCCAAAATAAAAGTTTGTGTTTACATAATACATGTGGGTGCACTGTGTAAAATTATTTTGTATATGTATATATATATATATATATATATATATATATATATATATACATACATACATACATATATACAAAAAAACACACACATGCATGTATATTTAAGAAAAAAATATTATTTATATATAAAATATTTATATATATATATAATATAAATTATATATAAATCTATACAGTATATACATGAAACTATTTCTTAAATATATACAAGCATGTGTGTGTGTGTATATATATATATATATATATATATATATAGGGCTGTGCAAAAATTAATTACGATTAATCGCATCCAAAATAAAAGTCTGTGTTTACATAATATATTTGTGTGTGCTGTATATAATTATTTTGTATATATAAATACCTATGCATGCATGTATATATTTAAGAATTATATACAGCACACACAAATATATTATGTAAACACAGACTTTTATTTTGGATGCGATTAATCGCAATTAATTTTTGCACAGCCCTAATATATATATATATATAAAAATATAATAATTATACACAGTGCACCCACATATATTATGTAAACACAAACTTTTATTTTGGATGTGATTAATCGTTTAACAGCCCTAAAAAATATTAATATCTAACACTAGAAATGTCTTTACTATCACATTTAGTATATATATAATTGCATTATCCAGCTATAAAAAAAGGAAACATCTTAATTTATATAAACTTTTGACTGGTAGTGTATGCATGCCAGAATCTGTTATGTATGTCCAATGTTCAGAAAACAGCAACTTACTTAGTCCCTCAAAGTTTTGCTCCTCTACACCCTTTCCATTGTCTGACACTTCCACCAACTCTATTCCACTGTCTTTTAGCTTGACATCTGCATGAAAACAAAACAATTGACCAAATGTAGCATTATCTCAAGCGCAACGTTTCCTCGTGCTGTCATCCCTTGAGCTCACCAACATTAGTGGCACCAGCATCAATGCTGTTCTCCACCAGCTCCTTCACAGCTGTGGCCAGACTCAGCACCACCTGTCCAGAGCAGATCTGATGCACAGACTGTTTGTCTATTGCCTTTATGGCTCCAGCAGAATCCATGCTAGGATTTTAAAATACAGACTATGAGAGCAAACAGCATGAAACCTTAGTAAACAGTACTGTACAATACTGTATTAAAAAGTGTTTCCAGTATAGCAAACAGAGATGGGCACTGCAGTATTTATGATACATGTATTTCAAATACAAAATAGGATTTTTTTCATTTGTATTTGACAGGGTTAATGAAAATGGAATATTTTGTATCAAATACTTCAATGTTCTGTATTTTTGTAGTTTTAAAATATTTTGGAAGAAGTCTACATGATGACATCATAAAAACGCGGCCTCTGATTGGTGGCTAATCAATAGTTCGCCCAGACATGTTGAGATCAGAACAGAAAATTGATCCATATGGAAGATGGTGGTTAAGGTAAGAAACGTGCAGGCTGCCAGTTTTTCATTTATATTTTTTTGCATAAATTGCAATACTTTTTAACAGTTCATGTTAAGTTTTGCTGTTCGTTTTAGTAGTGTTCTATAAATAGTTTACCAATTTACATAATGTTCTTGAAAACGAGTAGGCCTATACCAAGCAGCAGCCCCACAGATGATAGCTTGCTACTTTCACCCTATGTTAAGTTGTAAAATATTGCTATAAATACAGGTGCTATAGTTGTCATTGCTGATGCAAAATAGGCCCTTCGTTACCAAACTAAATAAAGATACAGTTGTGTCATTGGCAAACTGTTGGTTATTTTAAAAACTAATCTTCTAGGAGATCACCGATTTGTACATTTTTATCTGTTAACTGGTTGCATATGTCAGATTAAAGCTGTTGGTATCAAACATTGTTTAATCAACTAAGTCAGTGTAATGGTGAAGGGATATATCCATAGGCCAACTGATGGTAGGTTTAGAAATAGAAATTTCATGCTCCAATTACTTTTTAGTATTTTTAAAATACACAAAGTTATTTATTTTGATACATGTGACTGCTGTATTTTGTGCACTTAAAATTAAGGTATTTGGTATTTAATTTTAAAATATATTTTGATGCATCTTTGCCCAACCCTGATAGCAGATAATCACACTTGTCTAGTCTAATGTTATTTCTCGTTGTTATAGTGTAGAAATCTATTGGAAACGCGATATGCAAAGTTTTAAAAACTTACCACGAATCTGTCATCCTTTCTGTCGTGCTAACAGTATGGTCAGACACTTAACTTTGCATTGTGGCTATTTTGATAGCTTTTGCTCCCTGCGGTATGCAGAAAAAACAAGAAGCAGGAATTGAATGTGTTGTCATTGCTCAGTGTGAAAAACCAATCATTCGTCAAGAAAAAAAGCTATGATAAACTGCAAACTATCTAATATACAAATAAACGCACGCGCGCATTACTGCGTCGCTCTACGCTGCAGTGAATACGTTCCCGCCTGCGCCGTGACGCAAAACATCAGGTTTACCACGTTTTGCGTCCGTGACGTGATCAGGTGTTGCCTACTGTCAATGCTACTGTACAAATTTGTACCGTCTGCAGTTATATGACCATCTTTCTTTTTTAGTACTTTGTTATGCCAAGTTGATCGTTAACCTAATGCATTTTCCTCTGTGCAGTCTATGTGGAACCAACTTACAAAACAGCTGACTGACTTGACTGACTGATATATATTCTAAAATAATTTCTCGTAATAATCAGTTAATTTTATTGTTGTATCATTGCGATGCTTTGTAAATTGTAACAAAACCAAAGTACCAGTTTTAACGTTTTATTTTGAAACATTTCATCATCCTGCACGTGGTTGTCTGGGTAGGGACTGTGTGCAAAGTTCAAATCTTATAATTGCCGAAACTGACACTGACACAACAAAATTGTTAATGTCATCGTCTATAGAGATCCAAGTATGTTAAATCTACAATCCATAAACGATACGTATGCATCGTATTAACAGTTTGATACATTATGTTTTTCTTTGTTCATCATATATGAAGGTAATTTTAAGATACTTCATTACTCCGGTCCCTTCAAACCTGCTTCAAACATGGCAGACCACTGTCAGTTTACGATATTTTTATTCGGCCAGTTTTAAAACTTGTGAGTGGGGTTTGCCCAATTAAAAAGGTTGGGTTTTCGAAAGTTGACCCTTTCGGGATAGATCTAACGAATGTGATACACTGAAGTGTCTTACAGGAAAACGTCATGTTTCACAAAACTGAGAATCTAACGGCAGAAGAAAGTTCGAGTAGCGGTGTAGTTTCCAATCTGAAAAGCCATAACCTTCATATCCGACGGGGCCTTTTCACTCAAGACAGAGGACCTAAAGGAGTAATGTTCAGCCTGACAGATACGGAGGATGACGTCCAATTTGACAGTGAGTGCACTCCAACGGCAATATTGTACAGCCCCTTTTCATGACATTGCACTGTTTTCAGAGTCTGGGGCTCCTAAAACAAAACAGGGCGTCTGTAAATTGGTGTTAATTCTATGATTAATATTTACTCTTTTTGGATGCTAGATACTGACAGTTAGTCAGTTAAAGTAGTATGTCCAAATGACTAAAATGTAATAATGCAGTTTAAAATATAATTAAAATTATACTTAATATTTCATCTGTGGGACGGTCTTAGGGGTGTGGGGGGGTAACTTGAAACTGTTTCAAGCTGATAAGTGACTTAGACCTTACCCACCCCTGATGTACACACAAGATGCAGCATTGGTATATTTATATTTGCTCAGCTGTGAAGAGAGTACTGTAAATGTTTGGTGTCTAAATGGATTCAGAGGGAAATAACATTATAGCCTTAATTGCCAAAGTTATTGCTGAAGGTAAGACGCCTCCAATCCAAGATGTTTTAGACTCATTTGGTCAATTTGGTGTGTGTGTGTGTATATATATATATATATATATATATATATATGAAGAGTTCAGATGCAAAAGCCTCTAAATGCCATTTGAAATTTTCTTCTTTAATGATGCTTTTTATCAAACTTGTATATTTAAGTTCAGTAATTTCACTTAAATAACAATTAATAGGTAATTATCATTGCCATTTAATTGAAATTACTGAACTTAAATATACAAGTTTGATAAAAATCGCCATTAAAGAAGAAAATTTCAAATGGCATTTAGAGGCTTTTGCATCTGAACTCTTCATATATATATATATATATATATATTCAAACATGGTCAAACATAATGGCGTAGGTTTGATTTTGAAGTTGGTGGGGACGGACACATCATCAATATATCAATATTTTAAGTTTTGACCGAAATTATTGCTAAATTCTACGCCCCTTTATATTTTCCATATGCAGCCTCAGACTCAGACAATAACTGTGAGGTGTTACTGGCGGGGAAACAGTATCCATCGATCCAGGAATTTGCCTCTGCCATTCCCAACCAACTGCTGCTGGGATCTCTACTGGAACACTTGTGCTTTGTTTACGAGACTGACCCCACACGCTCGCGCATGCTTTTTAAAAGTAAGCGTCAATGATGTTATAAGCATCATTATATTAGCTTATAAAAGGCAACTTTTGTTAATTTACTATAATTTGTCTTAAAGTGTATGTTCTCAAATGCCTGTTGTTTCAGTGATGGGCCAGCATTTAGCAGCTATGAACCTCCTCTCTCCGCTGGCTATCAGTGATGAGTTCAGCACAGTCCGACTACAGCATAACCGGGCGTTCACAGAGCTCCTGCATGCGACCAGCTCATCGCTTTTCCCACAGGTAATACAACTTAATTCATCATCAATGTCTTTTTTTGTGTGTGATTTCTGTCCAGCTGTTGCTTTCATCAACAAATTCTTATTTTGCCCTACCTGTTCATCTTTTGGATTTTGCAGGAACATAGATATTTGAGTACAGAAGGCCAGAGTCTAAGGTGAAAACATTTACACTTGTAGCACCTCCACTTACATTGCTTGGTAATACTGTTCAAAAGTTCAGGGTTTGTCGGATGGGGTCAGATTTTTTGAAAGTATATTATATGCTCACCATGGTTGCATTTTTTGGATCAAAAACACATTTAAAAAAAAAAGAGAACTATTATTACAATTTAAATTAACTTTTCTATTTAATATATTTTAAAATCTCATTTATTCTTGTGACGGCAAAGCTGAATTTTCAGCATCATTACCCCAGTCTTCAACGGGGTATTCTGTTTCTTGTTATTATCATGAGAATGCTCAATGTTGAAAAGTGATTTGCTTTTTATTTTGTGGAAATCATGATATTTTTGAGGATTTTTTGATAAATATAGAATGTTCAAAAGAACAGCATTTATTTGAAAATGAAATAACATGTTTGTAATACAATAATAATTTGTAATAACACATTTGTAACATAAGTGCTTTTACTTTTGGTCAATTTAATGCATCCTTCCTAATGACCCCAAAGTTTTAAACGTCAATTCATAGTATTATAACATTTTAAACAATTGAGATGTGCTTTTCTATCCTAGAACCAAAGATGGTCTTTTCCAAGCCCAGACATCTCGTTACCTTAGTGAATTTGAAGAAATCGAAACACTTGGTAAAGGATCCTATGGCAAAGTGTTTAAAGTAAGAACAATTTTTAATCATATTATGCTCCAAAGATGGAAACCACATATTGTTGAAAGGTGAGCACTAAAAACACTCATAATATTTTAGGTCACAAACAAGCTTGATGGTCAGGAATATGCTGTAAAAAAAATTCTAATCAAGAAAGTAACAAGAGACGACTGTATGAAGGTAAATATTGTCACAGATTCAGTTATTTTAATTCTAATATACCCCCATATCTGTATGATTTAGATATATATGCCATAACATGTCTTTTTTTTTATGTCCTCGCAGGTTCTTCGAGAGGTTAAAGTGCTCTCCAGCCTTCAGCATTCCAATATCGTTGGCTATCACACTGCATGGATGGAGCACGTTCAGCCTGCCGTGAAAAGTAAATTTTTATAATATGTTCTCAATAACATTGGTTTCATTAGAAGATATACCTATATTCTACCTAATTTATGTTGTATTAGTGCTGGGCGATATACCGGTTCATACTGAAAACCGGTGAATATTTTGGTTACGATGTTCATTTTTAATATACCACCATACAGATATATTTAATTACGCTTTTAATTACGTTTTTTTTCACACTTTTTAATTACGATTTAATTATGCTGCACCACCGACACTGTTTCAGACGGACCCTTTACAATTGCATTTCAAAGCAGCGACGGTGAGGTGAGGGTAAATCAAACAGCAGAGCTCTGGTGTTACGTTACAGAGAAGGTGGATGCTACAGAACTACGGCGTTATTTTCCTGTCAAATGTCGAGAGCGCAAAGGAAATTAATATTATGTGTGAGCGCGAATCTCTGCTCGCGTGTGCGCTCTCAGATACACGCTGCTCTTGTAAGAATAGGTCTATTTTCTCTGGGCTCGCTCAGAGAATTCTGCTCTAAAAACGTGTTCAGTGCAATCGCGAATCTCTCCTCTTCCCCAGCTAACAATTTTAGGTTATAAGAACTTAGAGCCCGACTGATAAAGAATTTTGAAGGCCGATACCGATACAAATATTTTTTGGTTTTAAAATCCGATATGTCGATATATCGGCCGATATATTTTTTGTATTATTTCAGAAACGCGCAACAAAACATTAACAGATTTCCCTAACATTAGTTATTTGTAATTATTTATGAGTTTTAACTAAAATAATATGATAATGCATTTTAAAGGGTTAGTTCACCCAAAAATGAAAATTAAGTCATTAATTACTCACCCCCATGCTTTACCAACCCCATAAGACCTTCGTTCGTCTTCGGAACACAAATGAAGATATTTTTGATTAAATTTGAGAGCTGTATAACTACCACATAGGCTCCTAAGGGACTGCCTCTTGACGGCCCAGAAAGTCAATGAAGAAAATGTTTAAATATTCCATGTGACTACAGTGGCTCAACTATAAGTTTATCAAGCGACGAGAATACTTTTTGTGCGCAAAAAAAAAATAAAAAAAAATAACGACTTTATTCGACTATTCCTTTTCTTCCTTGTTGGCCTGAAACGAGACTTCCATACGATTTCCACGACGCATGCGCGAGAACTGAACTGAAGTAGTTAAAGGAGATCGCAATTCTCGCGCATGCGTCGTGGAAATCGTATTGAAGTCTCGTTTCAGGTTTTTTTTAGACGTTTTATTAACGTTCTTGCTTGGTTATAAGAATGTTATTAGAATGTTAAGAAATAGCAATTTAAGGTTATACTGGGCGCTATTCTATTCTACAATGTTCACTAATGACAATAAAGTAGGCCATCCTTAATCAATTTATTGCAGTAATTCCTCTCTCAACCAGTAGAAAATGCTTTGAACACCTGATTATGCATGAAAAAAAAAAACGTCATAAACCGGAAACCGGCTTAATTCTAAAAAAAAAAAAATAAAAAGCGTGATATCAATTTTTGGTTAAACCGCCCAGCACTAGGTTGTATTCAGTATTTCTGGAATCATACAAAAATGGTACAAACTTGTACAATTTTCTGTTCATCTCACTAGATCCCAAATCCCTTGTTTCACAAACGTTTCCAGCATTAGAGAAACCGTCGCAGAAAGATGGGTAAGAAGGTTTGAAACACTTTATCCAACACAAAAAACGTATTGTAACACGTTTACAATAGTATATTTGAAAATGCATCTTGCTTCAGGTGCACACAGGAAAACACTAACAGCAGCAATGGATCGTCCATTGTTTTTGAACATTCTGAACAAGCAGAAGCCAAAGAAAACCAGGCTACAACAGAAAGCATGTCAGTGAAACCCTCAACGTCAAAAGATGAGATGGGACATGCTGTTTGCCCCAAAAATGTCCGCAACCCACAGAACTTTGTTCCATGTGTGTTTCTGGGAAAGCCTCGCTCTATGGTGAGCAAATGCCCTGCAGCTAAAAGGGACAGCTCAACACTCTCAGAGGACGACCTCAGTCAAAACAGACTGGAATTGAACAATAACAATAACTCTTACATTGATATGGATACTACTGAATGGTCCGAAAAGCAGGCGCAAGAGGTATACGGTCCACTGAATGTTAACCATTAATTTAATTGAAATGAGAAATAATTATTGTGTAATCGTTTATATTATGTTTATGCTTGTTCCTGCCTATAGGTTCAGTTCCACTTAATGCTTTATATACAAATGCAGCTTTGTGAGCGATCTCTGAAAGACTGGATACAAGAAAGAAACTCAAGAACCACAACGGGACTCTTGATGTCAGTAGGTAAGATCACTTTATTCATAAGAGTCGCTATATTTTACAGTATTTAAACATTTATACTTCCTTCTTTAGAAGTCATTTAATTGATAGTATGTATCATACACTTAAACACACCCTTCCTAAACAGGAAAGACAAGAAAAGCTGATTTGCAGAGCTAGATGTTTTGAACATACAATCACAGCTCTTAATTATATTGTTGAATAATTTGGAGCAATTTTTAACCAATACATTCCACAGATCGTTGTGAGTCATTAGACTGTGAACACGCATTGAAGATTTTAAAGAAAATACTTGAAGGAGTGGAGTACATTCATTCCCGTGGTATTATGCACAGAGACTTAAAGGTATGTGTATTTATTCTGTTGGTTTACATAACTTGGTATTGTGCACCATATATTTTTCTAGTTCATGTATGGCTTGTTGGCATAAAAACTGTAGCATTTGTTTAAAATGGTAGGAGGGCCTAGAGTCTTGATAACAGATATTGGGCAGGTGTGACACAACAATGTGCAAACTTGTGCTTTTGAGGTTAAACTTAATCATAAATCGCACTGAACAATTACTTAATTAATTTTACTGATACATCCAGTGGCCTCAAAACAGTTTATAGCCAGCACAACATTTAACAGAATTGAAAAGATAAATGACCATCGGGCTCAAGAAAAGAAGTTGCAGTCAATTTGACCAACACTTTCCTTATCCCTTACAAACAACCTCTTTATCTGTTTGTCACAGGAAGGTTTGATAATTCTGGTAATACCCCTCAATCCCCTTTGGATCTTCAAACATATTTTACTTAACAAAAGGCTAGAGTACACAGTTACCTATGGATTTCCTAAACAAATCTAATTTTCATCAGCAATTAGGCAAATATGTTAAAACTGTTAATTTTGGATATTTATTACTTTGGATATTCTATCTGTGTAACAATAAAACCTGATAAATTAAAGAAATAAAATAATGTATAATGTAAAATCTGTACTTGTACTGCACATTATGGGACCACTGCACATTATTTCATTTAAAGGGATAGCTCACTTTGAAATTAATTTTTTGTATGTTTTAGTTTACCTCAAGGGGATCCAAGATGTAGGTGTCTTTGTTTCCGCAGTAGTTTCAATTTTGATATTTTTAGGTCAAACCGTTGTTGTCTGTCAGTCATATAATGCAGGTCTATGGTCACCACCTCAAAGAGCAAAGAGCTTCAGAGAAGTCCAAATTAAACATGATTTAATGACTTGTAAATGTAAGTACACATTGATGGCCTAAAACACGAAACGAGTGGTTTGTGTGTGAAAACGAAAAGTATTTATATCGTTTTTACCTCTTGTTACTAGTGTTGTCAAAATATTCGGTACTTTGGTACCAAGTCGGTACTAAAAAAATGTAAACGTCACGGTACCAAGTCCCGGTGGTACCGAATACCCGATCAAACCCGGATCTGGATGCGCATGCATGCACGAAGGGCGTAAATTTGTGTCATCTTCATGAAAGCGCTGAGACATGGCGACCGGCAGCGCAACCCGTCTAAAATAAAAGTTTGGTTTAACTTAAAGAAATTGACAGAAATAATTATATTAGGCTACTGTACAATAGATTTAACTACGTCTCCATTAATTAAAAATACTACTACTAATAATAATGATGTGTGCATAAGGTTGCTTTTTCTCGTGATTTTTTTATAAGCAATATTTCTAAATATCATCAAAATTTTCATTTAAACAGCATATAGCCTTCAATGCTTTCATAAATGTACCATCATAAATAATAAAGTCATTGAATTGAATTTGATTTTTAAAAAACTATTTAAAAAAAATTATATCAAATAATTAAATAAATTGGATAAATAGTTAACTGATTTTACTGTGGTACCGAAATTGGTACCGAGAACCGTAACATTTTAATGGTATCGGCACCGACTACTGGAATTTTGGTACCGTGACATTGTTACCATAGCCACAAAGCGCCCGCGCTCTCAAATCACTTGGACGTGGTTGTGGTTACAAGAAGTAAAAACGATATAAATACTGTTCGTTTTTTCACACAAACCGCTCGTTTTGTGTCTTAGGCCATCAATGTGTACTTGCATTTACGAGTCATTAAATCGTGTTTAATTTGGACTTCTCTGTGCATGCTCTTTGACGGGACCCCCATACCTGCATTATATGACTGACAGACAACAACGGTTTGACTGAAAAATGTCAAAATTGAAACTACTGTGGAAACAAAGACACCCACATCTTGGATCCCCTTGAGGTAAGCTAAAATATATCAAAATGAATTTCCAAGTGAACAATCCCTTTAATTAAAAAGTTGGTGCTAGTATCTCGGTTTAAACTACTCTATTAGATTGCTCAAACTCACTGTGTTTTATAGTTTTTGTTTGTTGCCAATTAAAATGTATGGTTGTTTATTTACAGCCTAGAAACATTTTCCTACATGGACCGGAGTACCATGTTAAGATTGGGGACTTTGGCTTGGCTTGCCAAAACATTATAACTGACGAGCACGAGCAGCTGCCCTCCAGCTCTCAAGCAGGTGTAAACATAGGTGATAGAACTATTCACAAGAGCAAATGACCATTATTTTAGTTATTCCAAATTCTGAACTCAAACATACTTTTTGAAAATTATTTTTAATATTCATATTTTTCTGTTTGTTGCAAAACTACTGCTGATTTAATAGCAGGTTAAATTAAATGCAGCTCTGAATTTCTTATCACACTTTTCAGACTCAGCTCACACTAGTGGAGTAGGAACTTTTGTTTACGCTGCCCCAGAACAACTTGAGGGTTCTCACTATGATTCAAAGGTAGGGCACTGTGAACTGAAACTGAAGTCATTTCTGTTGTTTTATGTGCTGTACTTCAATGTTTGACTGTTTAGGCACATCGTAAAAATGTGGTAGTAGAACTTGATGCTCAGTTTTTGTTTCATTTATACAGTCAGATATGTACAGTATAGGAGTGATTGCATTTGAGTTATTCCAGCCATTTGGGACTGAGATGGAGCGTGCACACACACTTGGAGAACTACGTCAGAGCAAGATCCCTAACACACTGTCTAACAACTGGCCAATTTTGGCCAAGTATATCAGTCTGCTGACCAGCTCTGATCCCTCAATGCGACCAAGTGCATCTCAGTTACTTCAGAGTGACCTCTTCAGCACCAGTGACATGGTATGTGGGGTTTTAATGTTGAACAAAACAAATGTGATCTACATATAGCCTCATTTTAGTTATCCTCATATTTTAAAGAAACTTTGGAACTTGTAACTCTGTAAAACAAAAGAAATCTTGTGTTTTTATTCTTTATTGTAGGTTATCCACAGTTTAAAGCGCAAGATTGATGAGCAAGAAGAAGAAATTGTTCAGCTCAGGAGACAGATCAGTGAGCTACAGATCTCTCAAAATGCAATACACAGTCCAGAAAAGACATAATAATAGCAGCTCTCCTACTGCTATAAATCCACATTACTTGTAAATTATGTAAATTGTTGTTTGGAAATGGCTGTATGGTATGTGTGAGTGCAGCTGTGTATATAAATGAGTGCCATATTTAATGTTATAAAAGATCTGTAAAGTAAAGTCCCATGCCAATAGCCAGTGCATTAGTCTCCATTTATCTGACTCTGGAAAGCTGAGTAAATAGTTCCTCAAAATAGCTATTAGCTGTATTATTTATATTACAATGATCGCAAGTTTTAATAATTATGAATATTAATAATAAGAAGGTCATGGATAAAGGCAAATGATAGGACTGAAAGTGTGAATAATTTGTTTAAAATGTTTTTTGTTGCAACTATATATATATATATATATATATATATATACAGTATATATACATATACATAAATAGATAGATACAGTACCAGTCAATAGTTTGGAAACATTTATTTTTAATCTTTTTGAAAGAAATCTCTTATGCTCAAGCCTGCATTTATTTGATAAAAAAATATTATTACAATTTAAAATAATGGTTTTCTATTTTAATATACTTTAAAATTGTAACTGAATTTTCATCAGCCATTAGTCTTTAGTGTCACATGATCCTTCAGAATAGGGTTGCACTTGCCAACTGTCCCGTATTTTGGGCCTAATTTATTTGTCCCGCATAGAACCTCGCTTGTCCCCATTAAATAGACTACTACGCTGATCTGAAAGCAACACGACACTTGAGAATGATCACGACTCCGGTCACCATCCAATCACAGCCCACACTCACGCGCATCAGATCATACAAATAACGGTAATAATAAACTTTAACCTAACACATACAAACCTGAAATGACATATACTGTGTGATAGGCTAAATTAGCCTACAAATATTTTAAGTGTCCCTTATTTTCCTGTAAAGAACCACAATTGTCCCACATTTTTCTTTTCTTAAATTGGCAACCCTACTTCAGAAATCATTCTACTTTGCTGATTTGTTATCAATGTTGGAGTTGCTGCTTGCTATTTTTTAGGAACCTGTGATACTTTTTTAGGATTCATTAATGAATTAAAAGTTAAAAAGAGTGTTTTTATTTAAGAAAAATAATTTATGACCCCCAACTTTTGAATGCTAGTGCACAAAAAATTCTATAGTAAATAAATGCTGTTCTTTTAAACTTTATTCATCAAAGAATCTTGAAAAAAGTATCACGATTATAACAAAATATTAAGCAGCACAACATTGATAATAAATAAATCACATACTTAATCAGTTTTATGAAGGATTATGTGACACTGGCGTTTGGAGTAATGACTGATGAAAATTAAAGCGATAGTTCACTTGAAAATTATAATTCTGTCATTATATACTCACCCTCAAGTTGTTTCAAACCTGTATGAATTTCTTTCTTCTGCTGAACACAGGAAGATATTTTGAAGAATGTCAGAAGTCTGTTTGATTAGTCACATTTTTAAAAAAATATCTTAACAAATCTTCAGCAGAAGAAAGAAATTCATACAGGTTTGAAACAACTTGAGGGTGAGTATATGATGACCGAATTTTAATTTTGAAGTGAACCGTCCCTTTAAGCTTTGCATCACAGACATAAATTAAATTTTAAAGTATATTCAAATGGAAAACCATTATTTTATATTGTAATAATGTTTTACAATACAACATTTTTTTTCTGTAATTTTGATCAAATAAATGCAGGCTTTATGGGCATAAGAGACTTCTTTCACAAACATTAAAAATAGTAATGTTTCCAAACTGTTAACTTTAACTAACATACAATGGGGGGGTCATTTTCATGGTAGATAGAAATTGAGATGCCATAGCCTACCGTACGATCTGTTCTTGTGCCACCAACACCCATTACTCACAATTACACATTAAAATCTGCTCCTACAATAATATAAATGTGTACAAAACACTACTTCTCAGCATTTATCCACGGGAACTGCTTACACCGATGTTGTAATATGGCATTGCTTTCCTTGTCGACGAGTAGACAGCAACAAAGATATTTAACTGCTTTGACGGATCTTCAGTAGGGCCACATCCACACAACACTGGGTTGGCTGACATTACGAAAGTACCCGGATGGACCCGTGGGGAAACTACGTCATTGTTCACCGCCGGACGCTCTTTGGATTTTAGAATGGATGAACTCATTTAAATTAATCATAAATGTACAGGTACGTACATTATTTGAATTGGATATGGTATGTGAATGCTGCAGGTTATTTTTGGAGAGCGTGCGCTGTATGGTTGCGTTTATTGCGTGGCATGAAATTGAAAACACCGGTTTCGCAATGAGTCTTACGGCGGCGTTGCCTTCTCGGCCACGGCACCGGTGAATTTTAAATACCGTGCCCCTCCTTTCTACCCGTTTCCGATTAAAGTCTAATTTTAGCTAATTGAAATGAGTGATTTTGTGTTGTTGGTGTTTGTGAAGGGACACAGCACATATTTCAATATGATCTTTATTCACAGACAGCCTTTTGGAAGTGCGTGACCATGTTCATGCCGCCTTCCATCGGTATTGTTACGTTTAGCCGTTACCATGGCGTTTGTAGCTACAACACAGCGGTCTTTAAATCGTCCGAATTTCTCGCGCCAACCAAAAAGGCGGCTAGCTAGTCAAATTTTTTTTCTCTCAGGCATTTTAAATGTTTTAAATAATACAACAAATACATTTATTGTTTGTATTTAGTGTTTAAATAACGTGCAGCAGAGGCCTAACTCCCGTTCGAAGCCTTTAGCCGAGCACGCTAGATAACAGTTGGTGGACGTGCGGAGAGAGAGTGTACTACAGGATCATTTCCTCATACAAAAATCACTCACGGAACCGCCACTGTTAGTTGTTAAACTGTGTTTCGAGTGTCGCAGAGTCTGACGTCTTAATTCAAGGTACACACATTTGCTGAGAATGCATTGATAAGAGAGTTTATTGTAAATTAGCTATCATGAACTAGCCAAGGCCACGGGCCCATTCTGACGCTCAGCTCAATAGATCGACACACACCGGCTACTACACCAATATATATTTAGCTTATTCGATTAATGCTTGATTGGCTGTCCATAAGAAAATACATATAGACAGTTCTTTGAGTACAAGGGCCGATTTGTGTGTTTGAAATTCAGCGTTCACTAATGTTTGTGGTAACGTTACTTTCACTTTGGCGCGATGTTTCACTGACATTTAACTGGTCTTTTACCCTTTCCAAGTGACTTTTGGTGTTTTTGGAAATAACTTATTTCGAAGGTATCCGTTTGAGTCTGTTTTTCATAAAGTGTTGTAGTTTTTATGTTGTTATTGATTTAAATAATATAGACTTAACCATAGATAGACCATTAAACGCTGGCAAAAAAAGCTTTGTAGTCACAGTCCTCAAAACCAATATTTAATAAAAATAAAATAAAACTTAAACTGAGCCAAAAGATTAAAAGTAATGATATAACACATAGTAACACTCATTTACTAATTGTACTGTATCATTAACAATTGATGTATACTTGGCCAGTTGATATTTTATTGTTCTAACCTGTTTAAAATGTGTGACATTCGTTTGATGAATATATCTGTTTGTTTAAAACTATATATGTTAAAAGTCAGAAGCAGTTAAGACTTTAGAGATATTCACATATCAGCAGCAAAGCAACCTTTTGATAGTGAGTGATTTGCTTCAGGTAGACTACCTGTTGCGTTTGACACAAGACTAGCTTTCTTTGCATGTTAAGTGGTTTTAAAGACACAAATTCGAATGCCTTTCTTGTAAAAAAAAAATAAAAAATGATTGAGTAGACATGCAAATGTTTTTTTTTTTCCACAGAAAATGAATTATGACCATAGTTGACAAACCTCCAGAGAAATCTGACCTGGAGTCAGTCCGGTGCAAGCACTCCAGCTCCCTGACATCTTTCTCCTCCAGAGACATGGAGAGCAGTAGTTCGAGCTGGAGTGTTGGGTCTTCTGCCACTGAGCATTCAAGAGCCAAGACTGCCTGTATGGCCCCGACCATTGGAGCGACTGTGAATGGTAGTAATAACACAGCACTCCAAGTCGAAAGGCCCAGAGAGCAAGGCAAGTGCTTGTCTTTGCTGTTGATGTTAAAATGCTTCCCGTAGCACCACTTTTAAAATACAACAATGGGCTATGTTGTGTTCTTGATGTGTAACGTATGTCTGTTTTTCTTCTTTTGCGTCATGCAGTGGTGATGAACAGCGGGGATGGCATTGCGCTTCCTCAAAAGGTCTTGTTTTCCCCAGAGCGGCTCTGCTTGAAATGGAACCAGGGCCACCGCATTGGAGCAGGTCTCCATAACCTGGGCAACACATGTTTCCTGAACTCTACCCTGCAGTGTCTGACTTACACGGCTCCCCTTGCCAACTACATGCTGACCAGAGAGCATTCCAAAACATGTAAGTGTGCAAGATTTTTCAAGATTGCATGTAATACTTCTTGTAAGTTTGTTCTGATGATGTACATGCTTTCCCTTTCCACGCAGGTCATGAGCCTGGGTTTTGCATGATGTGTACCATGCAGAATCACGTCATCCAAGTGTTCGCCAACTCTGGAAATGTCATAAAGCCCATTAGTGTTCTTAATGAATTGAAACGTGAGTGCTAAGATTAACATCTTCTTTGAAATCATGTGACAAGATTACTATTTATTCCTTAAAAATACATTTAATAAAAGTTTTTTTTTTTTTGGAGTTAAGTTCTAAGGAATGGTCTTACCATTCTAAATGCTAAAGTATTTATAGCTTTGTCCACTGACCTTTTGGTCTTATCCTCAGGGATAGGAAAGCATTTCAGATTTGGGAGCCAAGAAGATGCCCATGAGTTCTTGAGGTACACAGTGGATGCTATGCAAAAGTCTTGCCTCCCTGGAAACAAGTGAGTTCCCAAAATGCAGTTTTGTTGGCCAGTTTTATTTCGCATGAAACAAACATTCCTCATCCATCTGTTCATTAACTGTAATGACTGCATAACTTTATCCAGTTCAAGACTGCATTATTTTCCTTTTGTCAGACTGGACAGGCAAACTCAGGCAACCACTTTTGTACATCAGATATTTGGGGGTTATCTGAGATCCAGAGGTAGGTCATCAGATTCTCGTTTGTTGTGAGTTGGTTTTGTTAGTTTAATTCGATCCTTTCTGAATTACACTTGGCATCTTTAAATTTAGAATTTGTGGATGGATGATATATTAAATATGTTCCAGCTTTCTCAATCTGTTGCTACTGTTGTTAATGCACATTTCTTTTTTTACAGTCAAATGTTTGAATTGCAAGGCAGTTTCGGATACTTTTGACCCTTTCCTGGATATATCACTGGAGATAAAGGTGACTGAAACTTTTCGTCATTAATTTTCTTGAAGAAAGTCAAATTTAGAGTGATTATAAGAGATAATTTGTATGTTTATTTTCAGACGGCTCAGACACTCACGAAGGCATTTGAGCAATTTGTCAAGCCTGAGCAGCTTGATGGGGACAATGCTTATAAATGCTCCAAGTAAGTTTTTATCAAATTTAATGTGCATATTTATACTATGTCGTTATATTGGCCAAAATTCAGTTTTTCAATTTAGCAAATGCATAACCTCTTTTGACAATTTTTTGTTTTTCCTTTATGGAATTTGTCAGTGTGGAATAGTATTGTGTTTATACACTTTTACTCATTTACTCTTTTGTCTTGGTAGATGTAAGAAAATGGTTACTGCATCAAAGAGATTCACCATTCATCGCAGTTCTAATGTTCTCACTGTCTCACTGAAGCGGTTTACCAACTTCAATGGAGGAAAAATTACAAAGGTACACTTTATAAAGGTCATAACACAAAAGTTTAGCAGATAATTCTGAAAATGCATAAGATCCTGGACAAATTGGTATGACTAGATCCAGGGCTGTCACTAATGATTATTTTGGTAATCAGTCGATTATTTTTGCCGATTAATCGAGTAATCCGATTTTTTTTTGTGGTAGTAAAAATAGAACTATGCAAAGACATAAGCCTTTAAAAATAAAAATTTAAAAGACATAAAACAACAACGAGGCAATAATTCTATATTTGGTTCAAATAAAGTATCAAAGGCAAATAATCATTATGGTTTTATAGAACAACACTGTTAAAATGCATTATACACATAATAATATAAACAATCATCTTATGCACATTATGTATTATAACAAATTTATGCAGAAGGTGCCAATAGCCTGGTGTTGCATTTTTCAGCAGATCTAAACCTTGTTTAATCTTGATCAAACAACATTTAAAATGTTCATTTAATCTTTCATATTTGTTCACTTCTTTATGATAGAAATGCTACAGTCACTGTTATTTCTTGAACAAGAACATGTGGACATCAAAACATGCAAACGAAGGTTTAAACTTTTATTATGAAATAGGGATGAACAGTTTGCAGGTTTATAAATGATTTACCTTACAAATCTGACGAAATGGCGCTCATTGTTTTCCCATGATAATGATAACAGTTCATGTGAAGGAGCATTTATTGTGAAGGGAGCCGCTCTGAGATGCACATAACCTACATGAATGTAAATAAAGCACATATAAAAATATGGTAACACTTTACAATAAGGTTCATTTATTAAACATTAGTTCATGCATTAACTAACATGAACTAACCATTTGTTACTGTATTTGTTATTCTTTGTTAACGTTAGTTAATACAAATCTAGCTGTTCATTGTTAGTTCACAGTGCATTAACTAATGTTAACAAGATTTTTAAGAAGTATTAGTAAATGTTGAAATTAACATTACCAAAGATTAACAAATGCTGAAGACGTTTTGTTCATTCTTTGTTAATGTTAACTAATGGAGTAACTAATGAACCTTATTGTAAAGTGTTACCAAAAATATTAATCCTGCAGCACATACATTTATTTAACTGAACTGCAGCCTTTGTAAATTTAAAGTAGCACTATAGTATGGTTTTTAAATGGTTTTAGTACATCGTGCAGCCTATGAAAACAGTCTAATAATGTGTTTCACGGATACTTGTCTTTGGAATGCTCCGCTTCTGGTATTTTGCTGGTTACTCGACACGATTTTTTTTAAATTGAGTACTTGAATTTATTCGAGGAATCGTGACAGCATTACAATCATCCATATTTTTGAGATGCCACCTTGATTCAGGATCTTTAATAGGACTAGGTCAATGTGTTTAAATTGACAATTTAACAGCATTAAATGCATTACATCAGTTAATGCATTGACTTTGGCAGTCATAATTGGGATCATTCTCATGCCTCCTTCACAGGATGTAAGATACACAGAGTATCTAGATTTGCGGCCATTCATGTCTCAGTCTCATGGGGAGCCACAAATCTACGCTCTATATGCTGTGCTGGTTCATTCTGGTTTCAGTTGCCACGCTGGACACTACTACTGCTACATTAAGGTTAGTTGTCATGTACAGACCTGCATCCTCTTTTATTGTGTTCTTATTTATGTATTAAATAATATGATCCTCTGTTCTAGGCTAGCAACGGTCAGTGGTATCAGATGAACGACTCATCTGTATCTCTCAGCGATATTAGAACAGTGCTTAATCAGCAAGCATACTTGCTGTTCTACATTAGGTAAAGGTTTAATTCACTTCTCATGATTCATATGGATCATTTGTATTTTTTTGGGACTGAAGGGTGTTTCTGAGAAGAAATGAAAAAATGCCTATTTTAATTCAGGTCACCTGATGTGAAAAATGGAAGCGACTTTAGCCAGATGAACCATACTCCAGGCCAGTCATCTCCACGACCATCCATTCCAATCAAGATGAATGGGCCTCAGTACACCTCCACATCCTTCATTGGTCCTCAGCTGCCACCTCATATGCTCAAGGTACTGCAGGACAGTAACACATTCAGACAAACTACAAATCAGCCCTGAACTGATCAGCTAGGTTCTTCTCTTCACCTGGTAACTTTTTTTGTGTGTGTACTTTGCAGAACTCGTCATGCGTTAATGGGAATGGTTCTTCAAAAGATTACCATGGTGGCTCCAAACCCAACAGAAGTTTCTGTGGTGTGACCAAAATAGGTTCTGGACTATCTAATACATCCTCTTCTGCATCCGCTTCCTCTTCTTCTTCGCTTGTTCGGCCCACGGGCATTCCCGACTCATCCAAGAGGCCAAAGTTGACGTTTCTCATTGGTCAGGGCAAGCCTGTGAGACCTGCTCAGACTCAGTCAAGCCCTAATTGCTCTTTGTCGTCAGCCTCTCAACCTCAGCCCACATCCTCTAGCACCTCAATGTCTACCTCAGGCTTCCCACAGGTCAAGCAGGTCAATGGAACTCACTCTGGAGCTTCTTTCTTGGTTCCTTATGGTCAGGAATCATCTGAAGAATCCGACCAAGAGGCTGGAGCATTGGAGAATGGATTAGCTAAGCCTCATCTTGCTCCCGAGATTAACAATGGGAATGGGGTAAAGGGGGATGCCCAATCCCACAATTCCAGTTCACTGCCTCAGTTTACGTCAAAGACAAACGGATCTAATGGCTTTCATGTGTGTGAAAGTGGATCAGAATCGGCTCATAAATCCCAGAATGGCCTTTCCAAAGCCAATGGTTTTAATCATACTGATAAGGTACAAAATTTCAACATTTATTTCGTGGCATGTTACAGTATATTATTTTTACAGGCTTCATAATTTAATCTGGATATTTCTCTATTGATGTATTTCTATTTATTATTATTTTAGGTTATGGGCACTTCACATCCTTCATCTCAGATTTCTAATACGTCTGATAGTTCAGGAATGCAATTCAGCTTAAAATGTGAAAACGGTGAATCAAGGTGAGATGCATAAATTCACTTGTAGCTATGGTTATTTTAGTAGTGTTATATTTAATTTTAGTTTGTTTTAGTAATTAGGGCTTTTGTCATTTTGTTTAAAAGTTAGCTTTATTTATTCCTTTTATTTTATTCCCTTCTTTCTAGTTTGCTTTACTTTTTCCTTTTTATTTCAGTTTTACTTATTTTCTAACTTCAACTTTACAAGTTTTTCATCTAATAATAATCTGCATTTGTTACATTGAAGAATATTATTTTTAACTTTTAATTTGAACTAACAATAATACTGCCTATGATTTTATATTAATTTAATAATGAAATTTTAATATCGGCCATTTATAAGTTATCAGCCACAACATAAATGATCTGTTGAATATGAAATGGTAATATTGCTAAATCACTGACTATTTGTTTTTAATATTATTACATTTCTGATGGAATAAACTTTCTTTGGGTTTTCTTTATTCATACAACAGTTCCAAGCCACTGAGTACTGATGCCCCATGCTCCTCACCTTCAAACAAAAGGATGAACCCTCCTTCCGACGCTTTATCTCAGTCTGAAGTACATTTAGAGTCTGCACCTTCATCTAATGCCTCATTGGTCTCAAAGACTGGAGACACTGACCTTCATTGCCAGACAACTTCAAAAGTTGAGTCGATTCCGAGCCGTGCCGCCCATACAGCGGCTGGCACGTCGGACCGTCAGGTCAACAACAGTCTCAACCTCCATATCGGTGATGGTCACACAAGTCCACACAGGTTAAAGGAGGTGTTCAGGTGCAGTGAAGGGGAAAGCAAAGATTCAAAACCATCACACTTAGACAAGTTCGGCTCTGGAGTTGGACAGAGGGTGGGTGAGGACGGGAATAAAATTTCACAGCGGCCACATTTTTCTTCACCCCCGAAGGACAGGGACCAGGACAGGGACCGGGACAGGGACCGGTACAGGTACCACAGGGAATACAGCGAAAGAAGCCGGAGCCGCTATGGGTACAGTCATCGAGATAGCCGTCCTTTCAGAGAGCGCTCCTCCAGTAGAGACCGGCATCACAGAGATCGTGAGGTAGAGAGACACTGGGACAGATTCTCACACCATCGTCGAGAACACCACCACTCCCAAAGAAGACCCAGAGAGGAACGCAACTGGAGTAGAGATAGGAGGTTTGTGAGTGAGACTTATCGTCCTTCTGGACACCATAACAGGGATATATATTCCAGTCACAGCAATCGTGGGGTGGAGGGAGCCCATGGAAGAACCGCCCTTACAGTGAACAGTTCAAAAAGCAGACGCTCATCATCCCGCTCTCTCAGCCCAATGTCCGGACACAACAAGCGGAAACGGAGTCCGTCGTCTGATGCAAGAGAAAGTTCTGATGAATGCAGAGCGAAGAAATCTAAGAAGAAAAAGAGAAACAAACACAGGCGAGTGATACTTTGCTACCCCTTTCTGTTGATGTAGTCAATGTTTTTTTAGTTGTTTAATTCCTCATATAATAATAATAATATGGAAAATAATATAAAAATAAATTTTAAAAAGCTAATTCTTGGAAAAATGTCTTAAGTATCTTATATTATTTCTTATAAAATATTTAAACAACTGCTTCGCTGCTTATTAATAATACTAAAAGAATTAAAAATGTACTTATTTGTAATATAAATTTTGCTTTGTGTGAGAATTTAAAGCATTGGGGGGAAAAGACTTGTTGATCATTGTGACTTTCTGCTTACAGGCGTTCAGAGAGGGATCCATCAGAGGGAAATGAGGATAGCAGCTCCAAGAGACATAAGAAGAAGAAGAAAAAGAAAAAGAGGAGAAGGGAGGAGGAGGAGAGGCCACACACTTGGAGAGACAACGCTCTGAGGCGGGAAGAGCATGATACTAGAGCTAGGAATGGTGCAGAGAGAGGAAGTCAGCACCACAGCTCTGAGTCTCTCAACAACGTCCACCGAGACCATAAGGAGGACCAGCAACAGCTCAATGGACAAAAAGGTGCATTATATGGGGCTTTCACACTGGGTAGTTCTTTGAACTAGCCACCAGTGTGGTTCCACGAGAACTAATGGTTCCCCTAGGGCATTCGCACTGCCATTAGGAACTCTGAAGTGACGTAAGCTGCGCGTGTTGTGACTTATTTTGATGGCGCGGCAGACCTCATTTTTGACGCGCTGAGAACGACTGAGCACACAGCGCTTGCATCCTCCGTCTTCATTAGTTTACGAACTGTTTAACGCTATTTGATAGAACTGTTATAAGAAAGTAGACGCTATATGAAAAGGTATTAGCGTACGCTGTGGGGCTAATGTCCAGTGTTGCTAGCTGAGCAGAAATACATAATCATGTTTCTCTTGGCGCTTTTCCACTGCATTGTACGGTACGGCTCGGCTCACTTATGGCGCTTTTCCACTGCATTGTACGGTACGGCTCGGCTCACTTATGGTGCATTTCCACTGCATGGTACGGTATGGTACGGCTCGCTTTAAATGGTACTGGGTCTGTTGAGGTTCCAAGCGTACTGTACCGGTACTAAAATGTGACATTTAACACTGCAGATCACTAATTGGTCAGACAGAATCGTCACTACCAGCGTCATTGTATTTGCGGCGTGTGAAACCAAACACGCTAGATTTAAATAGTCAGTAACAGCCACCGCTGTAGCGACTGCTTTTAAACTATCCCACGCACTTTAAAGCGAGACTAACTGCAGTGGAAAAGCAACTGAGCTAAAGCGAACCGAACCGAGCCGAGTCGTACCACGCAGTGGAAATGCCTGCCTCGCCGCGCCGAACCGTACTGAGCCGTACCAGCAGTGGAAAAGCGCCATTAGTGTTAAGGTTTGAGAGGTCCATCTATCACTGTTTTCCATGTTCATAGAGTTAGTTTCTCGAGTAAATATATAGGCTATAATCTGTGTGTTTATACAGCCTTTTTAAAAATGGCGGAGGCTGGTGTTTCCTAGTACCTTTGGACAATCAGCGTACATTAAGGTGACTGGTAGACCCTACTCTGAACTATATTAGTTCCTCTAAAAGGAGTTCCTAGAACTAAAATCATTACTAGCTCCTGCGGTGCGAATACGGCAAAATCTGGGAACTTCCACCAGCAGTTCTAGGAACTATGTGAAAAGTTCCTTTGGCGAAAAGCGTCTATTGTTTATAGCTTTGGCATCTGGTTTTGACATTGATAACAAATACTGTAAACATTTATGTCCTGAAACATTTATGTCCATTGAGCATCAGATATGTGTTTTTACACATTCGGGTCACATTTAATGACTAAATCAAAAGAGAACAAATAAATGATTAAAGAATCATTAAATTTGCATTGTGACAATGTTTTTATGGCAACTAAACATTTTCACACAATATAACACACAATATAAGTGTTTTTGTGTATTACCATTTTTCCAATGATTATTATTATTAAAGGATTAGTTCACTTTTAAAAAAAACTTTTGCTGATAATTTACTCACCCCCATGTCATCCAAGATGTCCATGTCATTCTTTCTTCAGTCGAAAAGAAATTAAGGTTTTTGATGAAAACATTCCAGGATTTTTCTCCTTATAATGGACTTCAATGGGAACCAGGTCCAACCGAGGTCCAAACGACAGTTAATAACAGTTTCAGATGCAGCTTCAAATGTCTTTAAACGACACCAGACGATGAATAAGGGTCTTATCATGCGAAACGATCGGTTATTTCAAAGCTTATTCCAAAAATGTAACTTTTCTAAGGACAAATGCTAGCCTTGTAATATATTGTGAAGCGCGTTTGCAACGTCACGTGATACGTAATTACGTTAAAAAGGTCACGGGCGACATAGCCGGAAGTACAGAATCAAAATCGTCCGACATCGTTGTTTTACCTTTTAATTCCTTTTTTGTAAACGGCGTTTGAGTTAGTTTGCACGTTCAACCTATGCGTTCAACTTGTAAACACTCTGACTCTGTACTTCTGGCTACGTCGCCCATGACCTTTTGAACGTAATTACGTATTACGTGACGTTGCAAACGCGCCTCACAGAATGGCGAAAGGCTAGCATTTGTCCTTAGAAAAGTTACATTTTTGGAAAAAAGCTTGGAAATAACCGATTGTTTCGCATGATAAGACCCTTATTCATCGTCTGGTGTCGTTTAAAGACATTTGAAGCTGCATCTGAAACTGTTATTAACTGTCGTTTGGACCTCGGTTGGACCTGGTTCCCATGGAAGTCCATTATAAGGAGAAAAATCCTGGAATGTTTTCATCAAAAACCTTAATTTCTTTTCGACTGAGGAAAGAAAGACATGGACATCTTGGATGACATGGGGGTGAGTAAATTATCAGCAAAAGTTTTTTCAAAAGTGAACTAATCCTTTAATGTTGTTGTCATTATTTTGAAATGTTAGAGATGCATTTTTTCATCTTTAATAAAAACTGCTAAGTACAATTAATAATAATAATAATAATGTTTATTTTTTATTGCGCTTTTCAAGAACCCAAGGTCGCTTCACAAAATAATAAAATAATTCAACCAGTTGACAAGAAGAGACAAGCAATCTGCTTATAACAATGGAGGCAACAAAAAACTACAAACCATTAACATGAGAAGTTTTGATGTAAAAATAGAATGTAAGATAGTTATTTACTGAGTATGTTAAATATATGAGATTTAAGTTGAGATTTGAAGGTCTGTAGGTTAGGGGTGGCACGAAGATCAGAGGGTAGCTTATTCCAAAGCTTACGGCCTACAACACTAATCGTAGCCCACGAACACTAATTTAAATATACAATTTTATATCATTTACATTTTGCAGTAATAATTGGAGAGTGAGGTGCTTCATTTTCATTGAAATATTTATATTACAAATAAACAATGCTGTCTTTTTTTGCCATAAAAATACTTGATGTGCATTATTTTTGTACAAACACGGCCTTTTGAGTAATATGATTTATCTGGTTAAATGCAGAAATGGCAAATGTGTCAGCTACATGTGTGCTTCATTTTTGCTTTTAGATTAATTTTTGAGAGCAGAGTCTCCTTGACGTCTGACATTGCTTGGGTCCAAATTGAGCTTTCTCTTTCAGAGAGCTGACTTGTGCTGACTAAAATATTCCGGTACACTCTGATGCATTCTGCATCTCTTTGCTTCAATTGGTTTGCTAGTGATTGACTACAATTTACAATCTTTTTTTTCTCAAAAAAAACCCTCTCCATCCTCACATACATCCTGTCACACACGTTCACTTTTGATCTTGGCATAACTTTACACATTCACACGTAATTGTAATTTGGGGAATAAATGAACTAATGTTTTTGTTGTTGTTGTTGTTGTTTCAGCTAATGGCTGTTACAGTGGAAGTGAACCTGATCTTTGTCCTACTGGGACAGAAAAAGATGTGAAATACAAACATTTTGATCATGCTACCACTGTCAACAGCACAAAGACACTCTCAAATGGAAATGGAGATATAGACGGTCTCTATCACAGGACCCTTTCAGATGTTCAAGTAAGTAGACCGTCTGAGAGCACATTTTATGATAGCAAGTATTTAGGAAGCAAATGTAGCCTTATTTCTAAAAAAAAAAAAAAGAAAAAAGAATAACATTGTAATAAATGTTATAATCTTAAAAGTAATTGTAGTATTTGTAAAATGCACTTTTAAATATTAAAGGGATAGTACACCCAAAAATGAAAATTCTGCCAGTAATTACTGACCCTCATGTTGTTCCAACCCCATAAGACCTTCATTATCTTTGGAACACAAATTAAGGTATTTTTGATGAAATCTGAGTGCTGGATCACTCCTCCATACTAGTCCATAGGCTTCTTGAGGGATTGAAACTTGCCGGCCTCGAAAAGTTATTAAAGACATCGTTAAAATAGTCTGAGTGACTACAGTGGCTCAATCCTAAGTTTATCAAGCGACCAGAATACATTTTGTGCGCAAAAACAAACAAAAATAACGACTTTTTCAACTATTAATTTCCTTCTCTCTCTGCCTCGAGTCAGGTTACTAGTTTAACAGTATGATCTGTTGTTGTTGTACGTCACATGCATCACACACAACCAGCGTCGGCCAATATTGGAGCCTATGTGTGACGTAGATCTACGCTATCACACTATGTTAACTGACTAGAGGCCCATAGAGAAGGAAATGAATAGTTGAAATAAAGACGTTTTTTATGTTTGTTTTTGCGCACAAAAAGTGTTCTCGTCTCTTGATAAAGATTGAGTCACTTGGACTATTTTAACAATGTCTTTAATAACTTCAAGGTGGTCAAGTTTCTATCCCTCAGAAGCCTATGGACTGTATGCAGGAGTGATCTTAATATCTTAAATATCTTAATTTGTGTTCCGAAGATGAACGAAGGTCTTACGGGGTTGGAACAACATGAGGGTAAGTAAATACTGACAGAACTATCCCTTTAATTTCATATAAAATTATTTTATATATCAAATATATATATATTTCCAAATCTTTTCACAGGAAGTCACACGTCCACATTAAAGGGCAATTGATTTTTTTGATCATACTAAAGGTAAGAAATTGTTTATACAATATTTTCTTTTTTTTTTTTTTACTTATTTTGTGCAAAATAAGCTCAGCTCTAATTTTCTCGTCCCATTTCTGTTTTTTAAGACTCTGGAAACCACCCATGCAAGCATGTGAAAGACAGGAAAACTACAGCTAAAGTTCCTGACATGGTGCTTAACATTTAGAACATACTGTATTTTTACCACGAAACGATTTTTAAAGTTTCATTATTTTGTCTTTTTTTGTTGTTATTTTTAAGGCTATTGATTTTTTTTTTAGTACACTTGTACATAAATGAACTTTGATTGTGAAAAACAAATTATATATAAAGTTAATATATGCGATTTAAAAGAAGATAAAAAAAAGCCTGGAGCTTAACATCAGAATTGCTGCTCAGACATACAGACTCAGGATTTTCTCACTTGTGAAGATGAGACAAGCGCTCCCTTTAAGGATACTAACCTGGGAAAGACGAGAACATTTATATGCTGCATCGGCGGAGAAAGACTGCTTGTCTTTTGACTTCAAGTTATGATGTCACCATTTTCACATATCTGTTGAGAGAACTGTCTCAAAGGAGCAGCCTTTGCTATTGCTACATGTGCACTTACATCACAGTTAACCTGGACACACTTGAGGACATACGATGTTTGCTTTGCTGTCTCTTGTACCTCTCCTTTTTTTAAGCATCTCTCACTGTATTACTCTCTCAAATTCCTCGATCACACCTATCTAGAATGCAAGTTCATTGCATCTTTTTTTGTTTTTAATTCTCGCTGTTTCGTTTTCTTGAATCCACTTTGATTTTAGTCATGATGATACTGTGAATTTAAGTTGAACTGTACTATCAGTTTGTTTTTGGTCCTGTATCAGGAGTTCAATAGAGACACTTTCTGTAAAGCCACTCGTAATGTAGACCATGTTCTCTGAATGTTTGACGATGTGTTTTTTGTTTTTGTTTCCTTCAGCAAAATGAAAAAGACATGACAATGGTTATATTTAGCTTCTTCATTTGACCGTAGCATGTCAAAGTAAATGTATACAGTGTACAATATGTTGAGTGAGAGGAAACGGCCTTAATGTCTGAAATTGTAATATTTTCTCTCACTACGTTTACAATATTTTGTTGGAGTGAATGAAGATGTATGTGACGATGAGAAGTGTTTGGTTTTGTAAAAGATGGGGTTTCCTTTTTACACATAAAGAATGACTTGTGGGATTTCTGTTTTGTGTGAGAAACGTTTCGATTGATATTAAGGCGCACTGGTTTTTGTTTTAGCTACATAGCATGCAGTCATAGCACACTTTTTCACATTTTATATGCATCTACCCTCTGTACACCAGCAAACCAGGCTATAATGGTCATTTATTTACATCTCGATACAGTTGTGCTTATGGGCAAAACATACTGAAAGCAACTTACTGTAAAACCACACAAATCATAAATAGATTTAGAGTGCACAGTACTTGCAAAGGCAAAGCAATAACATGCAAAACTGTTTATCTTATTGCTACTAAACTAAAGCAAGATGGCTTCCTAACTACGTGATCTTTTTTTTTTTTTTTTACAGCACCCTTCATTAATATCTTTATAAATATGAGTAAAGCTGGCTGTTTATCCTCTTTGTGATATATTCTGTATGGAGAAATAAGTATTCAAGGAAGGGGTTGCCAATACTTGTAACATGTATTTTAGAAGATTAATTTTCAATTATTTAAATTTAGAATAAAAGCCTCAGGATAAACAGTAAAGGGTTTTTTTCCCCCCCATTTTTACTAATTGTACAAATATTAAAGGTGCACTATGTAACTTTTTTTTGTTTTGTTTAAAATGAACAAAATGTAAATGGGTCAATACACCAAATTTTCTCCTTCCGTCACTCGTGTAATTGCAGTATCTGTCAGCAGGGACCCTAAACCAGCCCAAATCTTGACCTCTTTTCACCACGGCTGGCTGTTTGAGTTGAGTAAGATGACCCACAATACAGGAAGCAGACCATTTGTTTGAATCTCAACATTAAATGTTTTATTAGGTCAGTTCTTGAGGTCATGAGTTGAGGTCACATGGTTTGATTGACAGGACTGAGACCTGTGTGTTCCATCTAAGATATCTGAATTCTGATTTGCTGACACATACAGAGAGTTCTGAAATACAGTATTAAGAGCATGCTGCATATTTACCATAAAAATGTTAAGCAGAATATAAGTGAGGACGTTTTACTTGTTACATTTTTTGTAATAATACAACAATTACATATGCCTATTAAAAAACATAATAAAACAGATATTCGATTTTAAGCTTCAATCTCAGTTGGTTTGGTTGCATATCATTATGGCTTATCGGTAACAGGTAAAATAAGAAAAGGAAACTATACTGTTTGTAGAATTTATGTCATAAATAATATTCTCTTTTTTTCCCACTATGAATAGTATTACTGCCCTTCATGGAAATGGACAGTGATGATAACAGGCAACTGTGTTCACTTTAAACTAGCTGAAATTAAAGAGAAAAATGGTTGATTTAATCAATGTGTATCATATGGATTCATGTTCTAACAGTGGACAGCAGAATCAGTGTGATGAGTAATGGTAATAATGAGTTTCAGGTTTACAGAGTTATCAGCTGATTAGCTGCATATACATTGCATATACATCAGTTTTAAATCCATGGAGTGTCCAAAAAAAGTTGAACTATGGCTTTTGTGGTGTTGTTTTGTTTGTGTTTGTTCAGGAATCCCCTTAGTCTTGTCCTACCAGAGTCTCTACACATTTCATTTGTGTTTCATAACTGAAGGGAAATAAAAATAGGCGGGCGGAGCCAGGCTAGTATTCCCTATGTTGGGGGGACAAAATGTCACAAGGATGGCCAGACCACAAATCTCTGACCTTGTGGGAAATTAGCTTATAAGTCCTATTAAGTGATATTTTCTGAATATGTAAAAATGTGGAAATGTTTTCAGTGATGGGTGGGTTAGTGTGTGTGTTATTTACAAACATAGTAAAACAACTAAACCAAAAAATGGATTAATATAACAAACTGGCAATATTACATAAATACAACAAAACATTAACTTAAATCAGCAACAATTGAAATCAAAAAAGTAAATACAAACAGGTATTTGTATTCAGGAAAAGGCATCAAATAATTAGCATAATAAGAGAACATCTGACTTTTTTTTTTTTTTTTTTACACAGTATTTTATATTAAGGACCTTAAACCATAATAAATATAATATGAAAACTGATTATTTTCTCTTCCATTTCATGCAACCAGTCCTGCTGATTTTGATGACATAAAACAAACATAAAACCATTTAAAATTACTGATACAATGAATACACTTAATGAAATTTGATATTTTATAATAGCACTAAAAAATTATACTTGGCATAATTTCCTGTCATAATGAATCTATTTACTATATTTAAAGACTCCTAAAGTACAAAAAAAAAAACATGATTGGAATTGACAGCACCAGTAGTTTGGTATATTACATCCATTTCTTGGCCATCTACTTGCCAGAGAACATCACATAACTATACCTGGAAATTTGTAAGTTCCCATGTAGCCATCAGGGGGCGCTACTCGCTCTATATTGGACCCTCACATAAAATTAGGCAGATATTGTGGCAAAGTCAGTCTCTTAAAGTTCTTTTTGACAAACACAAATTCAGCATATAATTGCATCCATTACCGTCATTGCACTCTCAATACAATTCATTTGGAGATAAACATTAAGTACATACCCTTTAGATTAGCACATGACCTTTACAGACACCAACATTTTTAAAATCTTGTCCTTTATCCTCAGAGAGCTCTTGCCTCTGACTATTTGTCACCTGATGCAGGACCCCATGTGAAGGTTTACATTTAAACCACGACGTTAGGTCCGCGGCTCACTTTTTAGCAGCCACTCGCCGTTTTCTAGTAGCCAGCATGTCGTAGAAAGGATCCCTGCTAATGCTTGCCCTGTAGGATGACAACAGTTAAATGAATCGTGTTATTAATAAAAGTGCACATCCATATAAAACGATACGTTTCTGGAAGCAGTGACCCTGATTACAAAAAGTCAAATTGGGTGGCCCAGAGTTCCCGGCAGTCCCACAGGACATGCTGAGGCAGCTATTGCTGTAAAACAAAAGGCTAAACTGACTACAGAACAGTTCCACAATCCCAGTTGAGTCAGAGGACATGTGTTAACTAGACGCCTATAAAGCCACGGATCATACACAATGGCCTTCACGTCACTATATACTATAAGACCTGAGCATACGTCATTTCATGTAAAACAAGTCTGTTTTAAAACCAAGCAGGAAAACAAAAGCAGAGCCATGGCCAACAGCAAGAGGTTAAGTGGTCTTTGACTTCCCTTTCTCCAGTGATAATGCTGATCTATCCTCAGGAAAAAACATTTAACCTTGAAAGGACGTGGGTCATTTTAGTCTTGTCAGCACTTTAGTGTGATGTTTGTCCACCACACGCCGTACAATTATTTTCTTAGCCCTCGTTTTTGCCTTGTTTTCCAGTAAAAGCATCCTTAAAGGGGACATATCATGCAAAATCCACTTTTTTAGCCCTTAAATGCATTTTGTTGTATATTTGGAGTGTTTATAAGTACATAAAAGATGAAATTATTCTCCTCAGGTGCTTCGTTTATATCTTTATATTCTGTTTTGGTCATATTTTTCAACCTGTTCAGATTTTTCTGTTGTCTATGACGTTTTTTGAGCAAGTGCGTCACCGTATTTGCAGCGGAACTGCCAAATAAAGACATTGACTACCGGTCCAACACTTCGAGCAGTCCGAGCTCAATGATGCAGAAGTTACGAGAGGGCAAGTCAAAATGTCCGGTTGTTGGATGTAGTGACCCGAAGCACTTCAAGGATTCCCACTTCAACAACCTCCGCCAGTATAAAGAAGGGTTTGTCGATCGACTTCGCCTGAATGAGAGGTAAATTCCTTCTATCTTTGGAGACGACGAACAGAGCATTTCGATAAGCTGTAAACATCGTTAATAAAAATAAAGTACTTTACTTTCTTAAAACACATGGTGGTCATGGTTTAGCAGTACCTTTGTCTTTCTTTGTTTTTGTTTTGAAGTAACGTTACACAGCTGCAGTATTATTGTTCATGAGTTTCATCAATGGTCATTTATAGCTGCGTTGTTTTCTGATGCTTTTCTAAACGTATCATATTGTCAATACAGATTTTTTTTGTGGTAAGATTAGACCGTAGTCATTTATCTTATCAGTGTGCTTGTTTTAAGAAGAGAAATAGTCGACTTTCACTAACACAAAACAGTTAACTCACATTGTTCTGCAGGTTCGTCGTCGTCTTTATCAACTCGCTCGCTCTGGCTCGAATATGTAAGGCTTGAAGGACAAGTCTTCTGTTGTTGACATTTTATTAAAGTGTGAATAAAAATGTTCTTTGAAGGTATCGTATATAATCTTATATCTCTAATCGAACTACAACAATAATGGCCGAACGCGGGGAGTTGAACTGACCGTGAACTCATCGACCTGGAGAGCGGGCGGGGTATGACGCATCTCCTTTTTATTTAAAGGGGACGCATTGAAACGGGTCGCTCAAAGACGCACATCAGAAAAGGGGTAGAAAAGGGGCCTGTGGAGCTATAATAATGAGGAATTCAGACCCAAGCATTGCAGTTATGTTTTATATAGACCACAACGGTATGATTTATATGTAAAAATGAATGATTTAAAAGCATGATATGTACCCTTTAAAGCAAGATAATTGTAATTTTTTTAGTGTTTTCAGTGAATTCATTTAATTAATTGATTTATCTATATCCACTCATTCAATCAATCTATATATCTATATATATATATATATATATATATATATATAGGAATAGGAATGAACCTCACTAAATGTGTTAGATTTCTGCACAAATTAAGAAATCAATTCAAAATATATTGTCTGAAAGCAAGTCTTAATATCCTATGGAGATTAAATTGATCACATTTGAAGCATTTCTACTGGAAAACAAATAAAAACATATTTCTGCAGTGCACAGGCAAGGTCTAAAACACTGGAAACACTCGCTTCATCTTATCTGCATGATGGCGATGTTCTATGATAAAAGAAGTCAATGCCCCTTTCTGAGAATCTGTGTGTGTGTGTGTATGACCTACAGCCGACACACTGATAAGTTCTCTTATCTGAGAAGAGAATAATGAGGCCTGACACGATGAAGCCTTACTTGATGGATTTGATCCACTCTTCCTTCTCTTCCGGCGTGGGTGCTGATATTCTGTAGACAACGTGATTCCCCTCCACCACCTTCCCGTCAGCCTCCGTCTTGCAAGCCTTAATTACTTGCCCCTTATGACTGGAATTGTAGAGCTCAAAGCAATTCTGAAAGGTCAAAACATTAAACGGTCATTTTTACTTCAGCATTTCTTACTGAATATCTTAAGGGGACTAAAAGTAGGATTCATCTTAAAGGGATAGTTCACCCAAAAATAAAAAAGACCTATTAATTCCTCACCCTCAAGTTGTTCCAAATCTATATGAGTTTCTTTCTCCTTCTGAACACAATAGAAGATATTTTAAAGAATGTCTGGAATCAAGACAAAAGTTGATGTCTTGACTAACTTCCATAGTTTTTTTTTTTTTTTTGGTTTTCACTAGGTTCAATAGGGTCCATCAGCTTTTTGGTTACCCAAATTCTTCAAAATATCTTCAGGTTGAGTTGAGGGTGAGTAAATGATGACAGAATTGTCATTTTTGGGTGAAATATCCCTTTAAAGACTACCTAAAGATTCAGAATATGGTTTAACCAAGTGCTTGAAGAGGGACATACTGGTTTTCTTGGTTCCTCCACCTCTCTTATACTAAGATTCTCCAGTGGAATGATCCCCCGAGGCTCTTTGTCCTGTGAACACATGAGTTATCGACCTTAAATCCACTGTTTAAAACAATTAATCATAGTACTTAATCTGCAATATGTTTCCCTAAATGAGATGTAAAAGCATGATTAAAAAAGTGAGGGAACTAGGTGCACATTAAGCAACAACTGTCTGTCTCTTGGTCTAAATCTGGCACACAGCTAGGGAAAGATTGCATTATTTCCTTCCACTTTGCTGATGCTTTGAGTGTTTTTCTAGTTATAGTCCATGAGTTCATGTATATGCCAGTGTACTCATAAACAGACAAAATTGCATGTGTACACATTTAACATGCATTTATTTACTGATGACTCATTCTGCACTACACATGATATGATGACATAATTCACATTTTTAATAAACCCTTTACAGTAATACCAACTGTAACTAAGTGAAGAAAGTGCCTGTCAAGTCATTTTATTGCGTCTTGATTTAAACTAGTTTGTTCAGGTCAAATCCCTGATGTTGTGCTTTGAGAATGCTGGTGTCTGCACCACTGAAGACACTGAACACAGTGTTTACTCACTCTTTTACTCTCTGACTTCCGCTTCTATATGACCTTCCTTATTTTCACTCATATCTTACTGTCCGTTACATTTTCTTGATAAATTTTAAATTGAGTTATTTCCCAAACAGGAAATATCAAGAAGCTCTACTTACTGTTGTATATTCAAAGTAATATAGACAGTTATCTGTCAAAATGAACCACCTCCTCTTCCAGGTCTTCACTCTTCCCCCTGCAAGTTCAAATACAGATAATAATAATAATAAAAAAAATTATAAAGGGCTTATATAGTGGCAGAACCTTTACACTGTAAATACAGTTTTTCTCCGTCGCTTTGGTGCATTTCTCACATCACTATTTACATTTGCACAACAGTTAGTTCAACCTCCACAACATTTAGTCATTTGTGCACATCATAGTAGCAGTTTCTCATTCCTTCCAACAAATTGCAAATGCTTTTGGACTTGCATCAATTGCTTTCATACAACTCTCTGCTGTTTTATAACATTATCATTTGCTTATGTCATATCAGTCCAAATTAACTATACTTGTGAATGCTGAATAGTCATTCCATTTAAAACTAATAGTCCTCATTTCATTGCTTGAGTCATCACATACAAAAATGTTAAACTAGTTGTCAAAATCCGTCAAGCAATTTTTTTTAATCTTTAAAAAACCCTTTTTTATCCTAAATTGAACAATTTCTCGCAGGTGAACCTCAGCTTTCACTGATGAGAAGAGATGTGCATGAATGATTGATTTACAGTATATGTACAGTATGTTGTATGTTCAGTTTCAATATGTACTGTGATATTGTTTAAAGTTGTGCACTGATCTACCCAAAGGGAGTTTACAGTATGTTTGTTGTAAATAAGGGTGTATTTTTTTCTTTTGCACAATGCTCTGAACAAATTACAGTAGAATTGCAAAGACTATGCAGTAAAAATGTGAAACATACATATTCAGTGTCTTGTACTCAGTTACTGTACCTCACTACAGTAAATACAGTAATGTGAAACTTTACTGTAGTTTTCAAATGGCTGTGCAAATAGTTTATAGGACTGTCTTGAGCATTTTCAGGTATAGTGTCACCAAGATCTGACTTTTTTTGTATTGGCAAACACTTACAGAGTAAAGTGTCATAATGAAAACATGACAAAGCCATTTGACTATCTTGTTCATAAACACCGGTGTTAGGACTTTTCATCTTCACAACACTGACATTTTCAATGACATGAATACTTGCTTTTGAGGAATGAGTTATCCATTTTGAGCAAGTGACACACCTTTGCAGGTTATCAACTAAGTTTTGTAGTTTGTACTAATTGTTTTGAGAACTGCATTAACTGTTGGGCAAATGTAAATAGTGATGTGAGAAATGCACCAAAGCGACGGAGAAAAACTGTAATAATAAAAAAAAATAAGGGCTTATATAGTGGCAGAACCTTTACACTGTAAATAAATCATGACATGACAAGGAATTAGTATAATCCCTGTTTCACACCAACTAACTGTTACCAAAATATTTGATTATATTACGTAAGGGATCTTTACTTTAAAAATGAAGTGCTATAAAAGCTTTAAATGTCTGCCAATAACAGCATTATCTGTGTAATCCTGATCAACAAAGTGAGATGCTGGATAACACCTGAATAAATTCAATCCACATTCTAAAAAATGCTTGAGTCAAACTTGAGAACGAACGGACAAATATGGACAAATATGGACGATAGATAGATAGATAGATAGATAGATAGATAGATAGATAGATAGATAGATAGATAGATAGATAGATAGATAGATAGATAGATAGATAGATAGATAGATAGATAGATAGATAGATAGATAGATAGATAGATAGATAGATAGACAGAACTGACCGATAGACAGAACTGACAGATAGATAGACAGAACTGACAGATAGATAGATAGATAGATAGATAGATAGATAGATAGATAGATAGATAGATAGATAGATAGATAGATAGATAGATAGATAGATAGATAGATAGATAGACAGAACTGACAGACAGACAGCTAGACAGCTAGATAGATGGATAGATAGATAGATAGATAGATAGATAGATAGATAGATAGATAGATAGATAGATAGATAGATAGATAGATAGATAGATAGATAGATAGATAGATAGATAGACAGAACTGACCGATAGACAGAACTGACAGATAGATAGACAGAACTGACAGATAGATAGATAGATAGATAGATAGATAGATAGATAGATAGATAGATAGATAGATAGATAGATAGATAGATAGATAGATAGATAGATAGATAGATAGATAGATAGACAGAACTGACAGACAGACAGCTAGACAGCTAGATAGATAGATAGATAGATAGATAGATAGATAGATAGATAGATAGATAGATAGATAGATAGATAGATAGACAGAACTGATAGATAGACAGAACTGACATACAGACAGACAGACAGATAGATAGATAGATAGATAGATAGATAGATAGATAGATAGATAGATAGATAGATAGATGATAGATAGATAGATAGATAGATAGATAGATAGATAGATAGATAGATAGATAGATAGATAGACAGAACTGATAGATAGACAGAACTGACATACAGACAGACAGACAGACAGACAGACAGATAGATAGATAGATAGATAGATAGATAGATAGATAGATAGATAGATAGATAGATAGATAGATAGATAGATAGATAGGCAGAACTGACCGATAGACAGAACTGACAGATAGATAGACAGAACTGACAGATAGATAGATAGATAGATAGATAGATAGATAGATAGATAGATAGATAGATAGATAGATAGATAGAAAGATAGATAGATAGATAGATAGATAGACAGAACTGATAGATAGACAGAACTGACATACAGACAGACAGACAGACAGATAGATAGATAGATAGATAGATAGATAGATAGATAGATAGATAGATAGATAGATAGATAGATAGATAGATAGATAGATAGATAGATAGATAGATAGACAGAACTGACAGACAGACAGACAGCTAGACAGCTAGACAGCTAGACAGATAGATAGATAGATAGATAGATAGATAGATAGATAGATAGATAGATAGATAGATAGATAGATAGATAGACAGAACTGACCGATAGACAGAACTGACAGATAGATAGATAGATAGATAGATAGATAGATAGATAGATAGATAGATAGATAGATAGATAGATAGATAGATAGACAGACAGAACTGACAGACAGCTAGACAGCTAGACAGACAGATAGATAGATAGATAGATAGATAGATAGATAGATAGATAGATAGATAGATAGATAGATAGATAGATAGATAGATAGATAGATAGATAGATAGATAAATAGATAGATAGATAGATAGATAGATAGATAGATAGATAGATAGAAAGTAGTTTTAGCAGAAAGACGGACAGACAAATTTACAGATATACAAACCTAGTTTTAGCAACCATCCCTCTCTGTCTGGATTAAAGAATGTATGAGTTAGATCATTCCCATCATCTTCTGGAATTTTGAAAGGCTCATTCTTAATGCTTTCATATAAATTCTGTGGGAAAAGAAGACAATGTAAATGCATGTTCTATCATTACATAACTTGCAACTCTCTCCGTCACAGAATGAGGCAGAGACTCACTCTGAGCAGCTCCTCGGGCAGATCTCCCCCCTCGTTGATGCCCCGATTCATGAGGATGAACCTTTCCACAGTGGGCTTGTCTCTGACATTAGGGTTGTGGAGGCTGGTGTTGAGCATAATGACGGAGAACGAGAGAACGTAGCAAGTGTCTGTGGAGTGAAGAAACTCAGATCAGTCAGTCAGCTAGGTCCAGATTGGCAAATTAAATGGAGCATGTATGTAAATATATGAAGAGCATGCAACCCTCTTTTTTTCTTGTTTGAATTTTTTATTAGTTGACAGCTAAATGATACATTCTGAAAGCAGAGAGTTTGATGCCACATGCAGGCCACTTTTTAATGTTTCTGCATCTTTATGCATGATTCCACGCTGAAAGAAAGATATTAATCCTTTGGACATTCACAGACTCGCTTTATCAATAAATGAAGAGCTCTTTTCCAAAACGCTATAAATCCATTTCAATAGTTTTCAGGAAAACTACATTTTTTACCTAGACCCACACATTTTGTGAATATTCAAATTATCCTGTTTAAATGTTTTATTGGTTCAGTCTGAACATTTTGAACAATAATTATTAAATCAAACAACAATATTGTTAATGATAATTTAAAAGTTAATTTTATTTTTTTCCAAAACGCTATAAATCGAAATAAACCTCAAACAAATAGTACCAATTTCAACATATGCATGAAAAAAAACAAATTATTAATACCAATTTCAACATATGCATGAAAAAACTAATTATTAAAAATGATCAATATATGATAACGATATTCAAAAAAGGGATGGGCACCCCTCCAGCACATGCACACACACACACAGGCTACATAACATGTGAGCAAAGCGGAGCAGCATGACGCTTAAATATAAGTTAAAAAAAAAAAACAACAAAAAAAATAAACATTTCACATTTGTTTTTAATAATATTACATTACTTATTTTTATTATTTCATCTATGTTGAGTAGGCTATGAAAAGGGAACCGCATGAGATGAGTAAGATAGGATCAAAATTCAAAAGCTGCCCAATATCGGAAAATATTTGGAGTGCGTCAGACATGATTTTGACCACTTATTAAGTTTTGTTTTGTAGAAAGCTTGTAAATTTCGTTTCATATAAATTGTATCTTCATTTTAATAAATGTTTCATCGACAAATTGACTGGATTAATACATTAGAAGTAAATATCAGACAATATAATCAGGACACAGAGGCGCGCAGGTGAACCGGAGCGCGTCTCATAATATGAACCGAAACACCGCGATGCTTGCCTCACACAGGCCTGAGAACTAAGCTACAGAAAGCTTTAAATATCTACTTTTAAACAAAACAATTAAAAACTAAAATAAATTGGCAACTCTCTGCGTATAGGCTAATTCGAAGTATGCGTTTCTCTATGCGCGTTCACTGCGAAGATGGCGAGTAAGCATCATCAACTTTATCTTTGTTGCTGACACTGACAGAAAACACTAGTTTATTAATAAACAATTCAAATGTTTCATGCATAATCATTACTTTTGCCGGTTCTTTGTGGCAAGCTTTATGCATACGTTGAGATGCGGAATATGCAATTAAAAACGCTCATATGGTTTCTCTCCCATTTAATTAAATCAATATATGTGATTACTGATAATACAAATGGCTTAAATGATCTACTACTAGTCGACTAGAAAACTAGGACTCATTTTGAGGAATGAATGAACATAATAAACCTCTGTTCAGAGTGCCGCCGTGCTGGATTGTGTAGAGCGCTCATTGAATTTGAGGATTTATCGTGTTTAGGCTAAAAACAGGGCTGGTGCAGTGGTGTAGTCTACGTGATACGCAGGTATACGCCGTATACCCACTAGAAAATGTCAAGGATTTGCGTATACCCACTAGGAAATGTCAAAGATCTCCGTATGCCCACAGCCCACTTTAAAATGCGTGAGGATTCGTAACAACATCGTTTTGTGAAATAAATTTCCTACGACATCAGCCCCCCTAAACGTAAGGCGACGGAATTTCGTGTTCCCTAATCTTATTAGATTCAGCGCGCGAGCAGAGAGCACGTCAAAAACAGAGGACAGGGTGTGTGCCTCATTGGTCTGTCACTGCTCGTCAATGTCAGAATATTTGAGATGACAAATCAAATCAAAGTAGGCGGGCTTTATTTCAAAGACGCTGCTGAGCGCGAATTTCAGCAGAGAGACTCGACGCTTCAGTTTACAGGCAAGTGCGAGAAAAGATGTAAGTGGCTAAACTTAACATTTCATATTTTACATTTTTTAGGTCATGAATGTTAAACGAATGACAAAAAATAATCAGGCAAACTATAGTTTTGTGTAATTTCGCCATTTTGAAGTGAAATAAATACTAGGCCTGTAACGTGACTCATGCAATTTAATAGTTTACTGTCATTGCGAGGGGACAAGAAACATTAACAAAGCCGTTTTCATCATTTTAGCCACAAGAGTAATAACGAATGTGTACATATTGATAATATAATAAAAATTGTAGCCTTTATTACATTAAAAAAAGCTCAGCCTTTGGAGGGGGAGAGAATTTACTGCCCACTGACATGGTTTTAAAGCTATTTCTTATTCTTTTTTTCTTCAAACGTCTTGAAATGCACATCAGAGAAATCAAAAAAATTGAAGCACCAACCTCAAATTTAGGACCTCTTTGATTATAAAGCCCTGTCTACGGCCCTGTATTAGTCATAAGATCAATAATGAATGTGTAGCCTATATGTTTTGAATGTATTTTTTAAACTTAATTACCTAGCTTTAGTAGCTTTCAGTGAATAAACGTGTCCGAGAAAAATTATTCATAGGGAAAATCCACTCATCAGTTGACCCCATGTTTACTTTCTTCACTGACAGACAAAAATGAAAAGCCTATATCAGTCAAAGCTCATCTTTAGGAGGGGAAGAGACAGGGCAAGAGAAAAACAAAGAGAAAAAGAGGGTGATGCTGATGAGGAGAGAGAAATAATCAGCTGCCCAGTGCCCACTGACATGGTTTTAAAGCTGTTATCTATTTTTTTGGCCTTCAAAACATCCTAAAATGCACATATGTAGATCAGAGAAATAAAATTTTTCTCAGGGAAACCCTGAACTCCCCTAACTAACCTACCTCACATTTGGGACAACAGTGATTATAAAACCCTGCCTTTTGCATGTAATGAAACCGGTTAATAGTGAGCATTAGATCCTAAACTAAACCTAGTGACGCCCCTGCTTCATGCAACCTGTCAAAGTTTAAAAGAAATATATTACTATTGCACAGCAGAGTACTTCAAGTAGGCCTAATAATATTAATAATAGTTTATTAAAACACACAGAAGCTCAAATGTCTTTAATTTACAACAGTTTATAGAGATAAATAAAGTAACTCGATGGAATAATGAAAGAAATTGCATAGTAAAATGTAATTTATAAAATAATAATAATCAAATCTATTAAGACAGAACTTTAAAGGAATATCACACAAGTTTTGAAAATTTTTCGCAAATGGGTGGTGGTGGCGGGGGGGGGGGGGCTGCTGGTATATCACAGCATACTCACTACAAAAAACTAGACTACACCACTGGGCTGGTGCTTATCGCGGCTTGGGAAGAAACTGTATCTTGCAGTACATTTTAAACAAGGAAATATAGCGATTCGGCATGAAACGTTGATAGAGCAGTGAAAGGGTTCTGTCCGCAGCAGAATGACACGACAAACTCATTTTTTTTAAAAATGTCGTTTAACGCGTTTTGGAAAAGAGCTCTTCAAATAATCATTTTGCTCTTTGTTTAAGCCCAGTGTGTTTCAACATTGCCGATATGTATCTGCCTCAATGGAGCAGATTTTGTACGGAGTGAGCTGTACCTCAAGAGATTGGGCCTGGCCAGTCTGGGATTGAGACTTTTTTTATAAGGCTAAGCTTTTAGGCCAAATGATGGGCCAAAATGAGGGGTTCATGTAGAGGTCAAGCTTACTGCTGAGAGAAGTCATACTGTACCTGTGGACTGAAAGACACCTGGGTTACACTGGCAATATCGAGCAGCAAAGGCCTCCATCATTCGGTCTATCTTCTGTGCTTCACCGGGAAGTCTGAAACTCCACAAAAACTGCCTGACAGGGAGAGATGGAAATGAAACTTCAAATTATAATATTTGGTGGACCTTTCTCTCAAGGAATTCATGAAAGTATGTATGATTTTTTTTGCATTGAGTAACACAAGGACAATAATTGGCTCTAATCACATTTTGCTCTAATCATGGAATATTTTGTCTCCTTTCATTTTTCTTTGCGATTTGAACACTCATTCTAAATTTTCTAGTCTTTAATAATATTTTACCACTTAATAGCATTTGCAAAATGATAAAACTGAATGTTCAGTTTTAAACATTTAAACAACTAAATACAATTTTCATAACTTCAAAAAAACTTCTTAGGAGCCGTGCATACAGAATGCGTTCTCATTGCACTTTTTTCCATTCTTTGTCGAGACTCACCTAAAGGATCATTAGGAGCACCATACTAATACTGTTTTTGACCCCCTTTCGAATTCAGAACTGCCTTAATTCTGCGTGGCATTGATTCAACAAGGTGCTGAAAACATTCTTCAGAATTGTTGTTGTCCCATATGGATAGGATAGCATCTTGCAGTTGATGGAGATTTGTGGGATGCACATCCAGGGCACAAAGCTCCCTTTCCACCACATCCAAAAAGATGCTCTATTGGGTTGAGATCTGGTGACTGCGGTGGCCATTTTAGTACAGTGAACTCATTGTCAATGTTCAAGAAACCAATTTGAAATGATTCGAGCTTTGTGACATGGTGCATTATCCTGCTGGTAGTAGCCATCAGAGGATGGGTACATGGTGGCCATAAAGAGATGGACATGAAACAATGCTCAGGCGTTTAAGCGATGCCCAATTGGCACTAAGGGGCCTAAAGTGTGCCAAGAAAACATCCCCCACACCATTACACCACCACCACCAGCCTGCACAGTGGTAACAAGGCATGATGGATCCATGTTCCCATTCTGTTTACGGCAAATTCTGACTCTACCATCTGAATGTCTCAACAGAAATCGAGACTCATCAGACCAGGCAACATTTTTCCAGTCTTCAACTGTCCAATGTTGGTGAGCTCTTGCAAATTGTAGCCTCTTTTTCCTATTTGTAGTGGAGATGAGCGGTACCCGGTGGGGTCTTCTGCTGTTGTAGCCCATCCGCCTCAAGGTTGTGCGTGTTGTGGCTTCACAAATACATTGCTGCATACCTCGGTTGTAACGAGTGGTTATTTCAGTCAAAGTTGCTCTTCTATCAGCTTGAATTAGTCGGCCCATTCTCCTCTGACCTCTAGTATCAACAAGGCATTTTCGCCCACAGGACTGCCGCATACTGGATGTTTTTCCCTTTTCACACCATTCTTTGTAAACTCTACAAATGGTTGTGCGTGAAAATCCCAGTAAGTGAGCAGATCGTGAAATACTTAGACCGGCCCGCCTGCCACCAACAATCATGTCACGCTCAAAATTGCATAAATCACCTTTCTTTCCCATTCTGAAATTCAGTTTGGAGTTCAGGAGATTGTCTTGACCAGGACCACACCCCTAAATGCACTGAAGCCATGTGATTGGTGGATTAGATAATTGCATTAATGAGAAATTGAACATGTGTTCCTAATAATCCTTTAGGTAAATATGTAAACACGAGATACGTGGCTTTGCTTGACCATTGCGTTCACATCTTATGCAGCATCTTGTGCATGAAACGCCATTCTAAAAACATAATGCTGAAGTTAAAATTTTTTCAACTTAAAAAAAGTCTCTAGACTTTGCACAAAATGTGCTCTGTGTCAATGACAAATGACTTAGGGTTAAATTCTGGATATTTAAATACAATGCAGATCTTAAAAGATAATGCTCACAATGCAATGCAAACAGCTGTCTCACCTCAATGCTTGCACCAGGTTGAGGTCAGCAAACTCATGAAGCTCCACAAACGCCTGCAAAACCTTAATGTTGAAGTCATCTCTAAAAATAAAGAGAAAAAAGTGTTTAATCATCAGTAGTTATTTCCTCATTATCTCTAAGCTCCATCTCCAGAGATACTCGCAATCAATTATTTTTATCTAAAGTCAATCGAAAGAGATTTTCATTTCCTTTTTTCTGTTTTCTACAACGGTTTTCACACCAAATACAAAATGAACAAGAACAATCATGTAAGACCATGTTTGGATAAAAAAACATATCATCATTTAAAAAAATGTAAAGGTCTTGTATATGTAAAAGCAGTGACAACAACATTAAAGGGATAGTTCACCCAAAAATGAAAATTCTTTCATCATTTACTCACCCTAAAGTTGTTCCAAACCTCTGTGTGTTTATTTGTTCTGCTGAACACAAAGGAAGATATTTGGAAGAATGTTTTAATCAAACAGATCTCATTCCCCATTGACTTCCATAAACATACTATGGTAGTCAATGGGGATTGAGATCTGTTTGATTAAAACATTCTTCCAAATATCTTCCTTTGTGTTCAGCAGAACAAATAAACACACAGAGGTTTGGAACAACTTTAGGGTGAGTAAATGATGAAAGAATTTTCATTTTTGGGTGAACTATCCCTTTAAGTGTAATGAAGAGACGTACCACAGCATACACCTGAATACACAAGCTAAGACGTCTCCAAACTCCTCTAATCAGAAACACAATAATTACAGCTTCCAGCTCCACCTCGTAAATACAATTAACAGTCATTGCTATGTTTTATGACCATACTTTCTAGTAGCAAACGAAATGGATGACTCTGCAGCTGAGCTTCAGGCTAGAGAATAGCTAAGACAACGGTTATCAACTTGGACAGGATGCCTATGTAGACAAGGCTATTTTTATATCTAACAACTATTGCAATGTAGTTCAAGCTTACTCTCTCTTTTCTGTCTACTTACTCAGTAAACCTGCCTTGAGGGACCACGTTGAGCATCTAAGTTGATGCAAACCTTTCTGGCAACGATCATACCTTTATTTGACTTGATACTGACAGAAGTAGCACTGGGTAGTTTGAGGCAGATTACAAACTGCTGGGTAGTTTCAAGGCAATAATAATGTTTTATATCTAATCACGTGTTGAGATATATCGGTAAGGGTGAGATAAGGCACCTTCACGAAGTCTGGGTTGTATGCTAAATATTGTTTTGGACATGTGGTCATTCTCAGCTGTTTCAAATAGGGGAAGTCATGTCCTGAGACTGAGAAAGGAAAGGTCTTATCTAACATAACACATATATTTTACACAAAGACTGGTCTTGCCATGTGAGCGAGAGCAATGTGACATACCGTTCCCCTAAATAATCTCCTATGACAGTTTTGTTCAAGCCTTCGCCTTTATAGAGGAACTGAGCGATGTCCCCAGGTGTGTGTTGCAGAAGATCATTCTCCAAAAGAAATTGGATTCCCTGCAAGGGTGTTTGAGATGTTAACCACTTCATGATGTTTGCTTAAGCTCAAAATAATACATGACCCAAGATATCATTTTATACGGCAAAGTAAATAAAGAAAAAACAACCATAATACCTTTTTAGGATCCATATTGAATTTCTTTCTTCCAACAGCAATCTGCTTGTTCCTCTGAGTGCTTTTGCTGTAATGTGATGTAAAATAACAAAAATGAACGAATATTATCTTCGTCTCAATACTAGACAACTTTCTGTAATCTGTAAGAACAAGAAGAAACTTACGTCTCCCTGACACATGTTAAATTCTCAATCTCTGTCATGACTTCTGAGATCTCAAACTTTAACCTCTGAAAGAATCAGAAAAAGTCGTAACTTAAGTTATAGCACTGGTTCTAAAGTTAATCAAAAATCTTTCTTAATAATCTCATACTTAATATAAAACACATTCCACCACAACACAAATGACATCCAGCCCCCATTAATGGGAACTTATGGTGAGGGTGACATGATAAATGTCAATCATTGAGATATGACAATGACTACATTAAAGCTGATACCTCAATGTCATCTAGCAACTCCTTTTTCCTTCGTCTAATGTTGGACAGTTCATCTCTCTCTTCAAGTGAAAGATCTTCAGGCACTGTTGAGAGACAAATGTGACATTAAAATGGTTCATCTAATAAAAAGATTCAAAGAATCCAAAGAAGCTGTATAACCATATCCCTGACCTAAACCTAAATCCCAAAGTGCTGTGTAAGACATAAAAATCTAGAGCACATTTATCCTCATAAATAATGTTAAATCAACTCAAGAAGGAAGCTTTACATTTGGGCTGAAAAAAAAAACAAAAACTAGAGTTTTAGATAGCCTAAGTTAGTGTTGTAGTCAAGACCACCTAAACCCAGACCAAGACAAGACCAAGACCAGAGTGTATCAAGACCGAGACAGGACAAAGACTTTTAGGGGCCGAGACCAAGACCGAGGGAGGGCGAGACCGAATCAAGACCAAGACCAGCGCCCCACACTACATGACACAATAAAATGTGAAACATGATCAAAAGAGATTGATCTGAAATCTTCTCAGATTGATCTGAAAGATCCACATTCCCATAAAAACAGAGATATTTAACACTCAAAGCAGAAATAAACCATCTTTATTCAATACTCCTGGGTGACTTCCATCATTTAGTACAGAATGTAAAACAAGTCTTCACGTTTCTTTTATTAACAATACATGAACATGAATACATGGGTGACAAGCAGGCCCAGGGGTAACAAAAATACATAATTAGCAATGACCAATGAGGCACGTTATTGTTTAGATTTGAATAAGTATGTTTTACATACAATAAAAGCAAGGAATGTTTACAAAAAAAAATGAGTCAATATACTGGCAAATTAGTGATATTTTTACTAGAGCCAGACCGATATATCGGTAGGCCGATATATCGGCCGATATTAGGCATTTTCCAAACTATCGGTATCGGCAGTTATGATGGCCGATAAATTAATATTTCAAAAATAAAATAAAAACGGACGAAACACGCTTGAACCATGTCATGAGTGTTGGAGTTGTATAGTTTGTCCACCAGAGGGCACTCTACACCGTTCCTGTTGGCAAGCTAAACACTCATAGACTAGCTAACCATAAAGCTAGCTAATGCCAATATCATCAGTCTGTTCTGTTGTGACAATAAAAGAAACAAGTTTCTTTTTAAAATGCATTATCATATTATTTTAGTTAAAACTCATAAATAACTAAAAATAACTAATGTTAGGTAAATCTGTTAATGTTTTGTTGCGCATTTCTGAAATAAAAAATAAATAAAAAAATATCGGCCGATATATCGGAATATCGGATTTTAAAACCAAAAAATGTTTGTATCGGTATCGGCCTTCAAAATCCTTTATCGGTCGGGCTCTAATTTTTACAGTTATGGTCTTGTCTGGTCTTAAAAAAAAAAAGAAAAGAGTCCTCAATGTCCGAGACCGAGACAAGACCGAGACCAAAAGCGTTTGAGTTCGAGACGAGACCAAGACAATCAAAAAGTGGTGTCGAGACCGGCCTCGATTACTACAACACTAGCCTAAGTACTTCACTTCTTCAGGACACCTATGGTATGACCCCAAATGTTCAAGACAACTTGACCTTCCATGATGAAAGGGATCCTGCATCTAAATAAGAGACTATAAGCCATTCCAACTTTACAACATTAAGTGCCCACTGTCTGAAACACAGAAGGTTCTAGTAAAGAAAATGTACCGAGTAATCACATACTCATCATCTCCGCAGAGTGTCCCATATCTCAGTGGAGGTTTCAGATACTTAAGTCACAACATACAATTAACTCCTGAACTGACTATAATTATTTCTATTACTTTCACAAGTAGGAGAGTGTTTTGCTTGTGGCTCAGTACTTGTAAATGTGGACACCATGAGTGCATTATGTAATTGTACCCCGGGCGCAGCAGGATTAGACAAGAGACGGGCTAATAAGAGGGGCAGGGGGGAATTTCCTGCGGTTGTCTGCTTCTGCCTCATGACAATGGAGGGGAAGTTGAGAATGAGTGCATGAATCAAGGTTCAACCTTAACAATAACATTATAGGCTGATTCAGTGCAGTCAATCAGAGCTCTTATATTAGGTGCAATGGTCTTTTTTCATTCTTTTATTATAAAAGCCATACTAAATCTTAATGAGGAGCCATTTGTTCATTACGCAACACAGTCTGGATTTGGTCAAATGTAACTAGTATGGAAGAAATGGGGTAAAAATAGAATATTCCTTTGAGATATGAACATTATGTGCCTATAACTTGCCTGTGGAGTTGGCAAAAATCACTAGAACAGAAGTAAATTCCCTTCTAATGAAATTAAGCCACATTTGCCTGAGGCTCATGGTGAACATTGTCTTCATTACGGCATTATATGGAAGGCATTATTTAAAGATTATTAAGCTGCTTTCTATATTATTCATATAAATCGTATGTTGAATTTTTGAAAAAATAAAAAATGCTAAAACTTCTGCCACTAGTGCTGACATCATCACCACCCTGCATCTTGTCTTGTGGGAAAAAAGGAATGTCGACGGCATGCAAAACTGTCAATTCAAATCTTCATTCCATCAGCATGACTGACACTTTGCTTGGAAACAATTACAGCTGTTTTTGAAAAAGACTGCAGTGTATTGAAATTCAGCATTGCCTAAATTAGTCAAAATTCAACTGAAAATCTGGGGTCAGTAAGATTTAAAAAAAAATGTATCTTTTAACAAGGCTGCTGTCACGGTTTGGGTTTTGTTTCTTGTTCCTGGTTCTTGTCTGTCATGTTCCCTTGTCTGTTGTGTCATGTTGTCATTGGTTGATTGTTTAAATGTTCACAGGTGTCCCTTGTCTCGTTGTTAGTGCAGTATGTGTGTAAGCCCTGTATCTTCAGTCTTTGTGAGTTCTTAAAGCTGCACTATGTAACTTTTTTTCAACCTTCATAATATTTTTCCAAAACCCTTGAGATGGTACAACGACTTACAATTGGTTGAATGACAGGTCTGCCATAGCCTGATGTGGTCTGTATTGCTTTTACTGGCACTCTGTAACTTCGGGGAGCGGGTAGGAACCCGAGCACAAAAAGAACTACAAAATTCGACTGCTTTACGGCATACGTCACTTCCCCCACTTCCTCAAATTCTGACAGGAGTCCCCAAAGAGCGTTTTTTTCCCCTCTGTATGTTGTCATGGCTGAAGCAGCAAGTAAAACCAAGAAGCCATAGGTTTTGTCGGAGGACAGTAGAAAGAGAAAAAGGGAGAGTGGCTAAATAAAAGGCTGGACGAGTACCAATAGCATTAGCTCGCTGGCGCCACTCATCCATAGGGTACGTCAAAATGAGCGAACGAGTGATTTTTTTTATACTAACACTATTTTAAAAGCATTAATTTGTCATACTACTCCACAAAATTGTAACTAAGTCCCCCGACTCCAGTCCGGTGCATCAATCTTCGCCCGCCTAGCAAACGTGAAGTGCGTCAGAAACAGAGCGTGCACGATCAGTTTACTGTTAGCAATGTGTTGTGTAGCTTCGTCCCTCGCTGCATCCAATGTAGACTGCATTGCTTTCTTTTGAGGGCGCAGAGTTCGGGGTATCGCTTGTCAACAAATGCACGCGTGTAATCCATAGTGTAACCATGACAGATTTTACAACAGTAGTAGAAGACAATACTGTATCCCAACTGTAGGGGGACCCCGAGAGCAAAATTTCAAAAGTAACAGAATGCTGCTTAAACAAGGCTGCTGTCACGGGTTGGGTTTTGTTTCTAGTTCCTGGTTCTAGTCTGTCAAGTGATCCCCTGTTCTAGTCATGTGATCTTTTTCTTGTGTTCCCCTCTCTGTTGTGTCATATTGTCATTGGTTGATTTTTTAAATGTTCACAGGTGTCCCTTGTCTCGTTGTCCAGTATGTTTGTAAGCCCTGTATTTTCAGTCTTTGTGAGTTCTTAATGTTGTTATGTTTGATTGCGATTTCACTTTTTTTCATGTGTAATGTTGCTGTTGGTGCATGAACAGTATCTGCAAAGTTGCAGCGCTGAAAGTTCAGTGTAAGCAGAGATGTTGTCTTTTAAAAATCAGGAAGTATATTGCCTACAAAAATGACTCAATTGGGACTACAGCTGGGTTTTAGACGTCACTAACCCACACATTTACATCAACCCTCCCTCCGAAAAATGCAAAAAGGGCATGCGTATATTTCTGCGGCTCATCGAGTGTGTTGTGTTCACCCAGCTCTTCAGGTCTTCTGTGTTCGAGCTTCCCGCGGACGCTGTACTTCGTCAACAATGGATACAATTTATGTTTGATTATGTTCCTGAAAATGACGTAATCTGATCGTAATAGCTCTCTGTGCTGCGCATTTACGAAAGACAGCTTCCAGAATCTCCACGAATTCAACACCGGATTCAACAAGAAACTGTTACTAAAACATGAAGCAGTTCCACTTCTACTTTAAAACCATGCAGAGGCAGCAGTTGTTGGGCCACAACCTGTAAGTAGGCTAATACTTAATCATTTTAAATGTATTTGCATGCATAATTCCAGACGTAGCCTTGTGTTTTATTTTTTTCAAATGCCAGCGCTGGCTTTCTAGCCACTAGGCTACTAGTTATGCTATTTTGTGTCTACAACAAACGCGTACAAAAATGATGGACCTGAATTTGTATAAGTACTAATGTTTTAAACGTATTTCTCATATATGCTTTATGACGTTATTTTCGATTTGATCAAGAACATAAACTAATGCCAACGCTGTTTGAGTATAACATTAGTAGCCAGTCAGTTGCTATTGTTGCCAGTCAGATGCTATTGTGTTAAACAAACGTGTATAAAGTAAAAAAATGTAGCAAACTATTATTCAGAAACGTTTAGTAAGAGCCGTGTGTGGTGAGGTTCTGCTCGACTCTCCACATCGCCGCTTTCTCGGTCTGATTCTGCCTCAAACTGATACTGCAGTATCGACCATTATTTACATCTGGACCGGAGCGCAGACTCGTTTTGCCCGCAAAGGTAATGGGCATTAACCATCCGGACAACGTGAGCGACAGTTTAGCCAATCACCACACACCAGCCCAAACTAACCAATCTGAGCCCACTGCCT